TGCAAAGAAAGAAACAAAAAACCAAGATGACTTTCAAAAGATGTTCCAACTCGTTGGAATTCAACTTATGACTTACTTAGGCGATCATTTGAATATCGAGATTTATTATGCTCATTTTTTTCGGAAAATATTGATTCTGTTTTTATTTGTCAAAATGATTTTGATATTTACGAACCATCTTTGAAACTTTTAAGTGTTTTTAACAATGCAAAATACACTTTTAGTGCCGTTTATCAACCAACTTCACATTTATTTATGATTGAAGCAATTAATATTATTGAAGCTTTTAATCATGCAGAACAAAGTATGCCAATTTTACATAATGTTGTTCAAATAATGAAAGAAAAATAGTCTTTCTCGTTGTTTTGAATACTTATTATGGGCATTTGCAATTACATGATAGAAATATATAATTAGAAACTACTTCTATTATAAATCAAGTTAGAGATTTATATATTGAAATGTCTTTAACTCGTGGGTTATCAACATGCTAGTTCCTCTCTACCACCTATGCCACAATCATCATCAAGTAACCAACGTGTTAGAGCTCGGTTATCTTATGGCCATGAAAGTGACAAAAAAGCCAAAAGGATCATCAAGCTCCACTTTCGAGCTTGATATTTATCTAAAAATTGTGTTTGAGTTTGGTGATAGCAATACGAGTGTAGATTTTGAAGTAATTGATTGATGGAAAGGACATGCATGCACCTTTTCGCTTCGTCCATTATAGCTAGACAAATACTTGTTATGCTAGCTTCAACAACATCCGTTGAAAGAGTATTTGGCTCAGGAGGTAATATTTTAGATGATAGGCGATCACAATTGGCTCCCGAGTCACTTGAAGCCCAAGTATAAGTGGATGATTGGATAAGAGCTTACAAGAAAATACAAAAACAAAAATAATATGATTTCAATGAAGAAAATGTGGATCTAACACTCGACGACACAACAATATAAACTTTTGAAGTCGGAACTTTCGGTTAAGAAAGCAACTAGGTGCAGCTACATAGGTGTAATTTGTAAAGGTGTAATTTGAAATATAAAAGAGAACTACGTAAGCTTTGATTTCTCTAAACCCCTAGAGGATACGTAGGAAGCTTAATTTTTGTAGTGTTTACAAAAATTAAGTTCAAGCCCTTCTTTTGTTAAATTTCTTTTTTTCATTTGATTTATTGTGCAAAATACATTACAATATAAAAAACATTATAATATTTTTACATTATGCCAAAAAAAAGTTTTTTTTTCAATGTTAATGTTTGATTTATACTTGAGAAAAAATGTTTGATTTTTTTTTCTCAATAAAAAAACCGTTCAACCGTCGGTTTCAAACAGTTTGGAACCATCGATTTGACGGTTCCAAATAGAAACCGTAACCGGATATAAAAGGTTTGGTTCAAAAGGTAGAACCTAAACCGGTAGTTTCTAAACCAAAATCAGCGGTTCAAAAACAATTACCATGTCTCACCTAACCGGGTTAGTATTTGGGTCGTTCGAAGTTTGAAAAGACCAAACTATCCTTCTAATAATTAGACATGAGTACACGGTATCTTTGCACGTTTCTCACTCTCTCCCTTCATGTCGCTCTCTCGCTCTCTCTCCACCCCCTTTCGCCATTCGCCCTTCGCAACGCGTTGGCCAGATTTTCTTCATTTCTTATCTCGATTTGCTCGAAATTATTTTTTAATTTTCATTTGCTGATTAATCAATTTCTTAAGCGAGCTCTCTTTCTCAAGGGTTATCCCATCCCAAAACCTATTGATTCTCAAAAGTGAGATTTAACTTCTTTTTATTCGTTTCTTACTTGAATGACTTCTGCTTTTCTGTGGGTTTTGTTATTTGTAGTGCTTCAATGATGTGATGAAGGTAAATTTAAAGTTTTGAGAGAATGGGAAACGATTTGCATTAAGTGAGAATTAACTGGGCCGGTTTCGTGAATGGAGTGAAGTATGGTTCTTGTAATTGGGATTTGAATTTGTTTCTATTGTATTCTGATTATGCACATTCTGAAATCTATACAGGAATTAAGTTTCAGAACTGATGTATCTTCGTTATGGTTGCAATTTGTGTTTGATTTTGGTTTACTACTAGGACTGAGACAAAATCAGTTGTGAGTAATTTGGGAATTTTCTGTCATTTTCTCAAGAAAATTAATGAGATTATGTCTTGTTGTCTTGGTTTGAAACAGTGGTGCTTAATTTTGGTCCATATTTGTATTTGTTAATGGTCGACAAAATCATTTATATCATGTCTTCTTGTCTTTGTTTTGACGGTGAGCAAGCTTGGAAAAATGAAATGAAATGAAATTCAAGGAATCAGCTTGGAAAAAAAGGAGGATTTTGAGTTCTGGACATAAAAAAATGATTTAACACGTGATTATGACATTTTTGTAGTTTTGTTTTATGGAGTGTCGGAAACTTTAAGAATTAATCGGAATTAAACTACAGGGTATTATGGGAATTTACATTACAAAATACATGCAAGGCAATGTAATTTGTGAAAAATAAGGTAAGAAAGTATTATCGCCATCTGTAGATGATTTTCCCATATATTTTTTGCATCATGGAAAGCCTTATCTGTGGAGGAAAAAAAAAAGGGCAAATGAGAATGTGTATTTTCCCTTATTACCATTACGACTGTACTGCTATGCACCATTACATGACAAAGGCCGGCCACAAAGTCCACGTTGCCGGGAAGGTCCACGAGAGAAACAAGGTTGTTGATGATGTGGATGATGACGACGATGACAGAGCACCAACGCAACAATTGCTCAGAATATTTGGTTGGCCATTGTTTTTGACCAGGTACACGGTGTGAGACACTCGATGTACAATTTGAAGCACATGGCGGTCCCAAAACACAATATTATGACATGAAAACCTCACAAACCCCCAAGAGTTTCTTAAACCTTATCACAAAACTCACATGATTCAGTGCTGTCTATCACATGCCTGACAAAGTGGTTGCAGGTTGTTAAGATTGGGTCCCTGGCTCTGACATAGGAAAGGCTAGCTAGCTAGCTAGCTAAGAGGCGTTTATCGCCTAATCTACGTACAGAAGTGAGTCTCACGTGATTCATGATTTTCAACGAGAGAGAACCAAACCAAGTCAGCCAAAGGCTCATATTTTATTTATTTTTTTCTTATTTTACTCTCTCTCTCTCTCTCTCTCTCTTTGTTTTTTTTTTTTCATATGCACTATTTGCTTTTTATTGCGCACGCTGTTCTACATCTCAAAATTAGTGATTTACACTTCTACATGTATGAAAAATTTGGACGGGAGCTTTTCTATCAACCTCACTTTAATATTTTCAATTTCCTAAAGTTATTTAATATATATATATATATATATATATATATATATATATATATATATATATTGACGTGTCTGTTAAAAAATATCTAGAATGGTTATGTTAAGGATGTGGTGGTGGCGGTTGTTGGTAGCAAAGAGGAAAGGGTACGGTGGGGGCAGTGGCGATTAATTTATGATGATCAATTTGATGGTAATGATTGTAGTAAGAAAGTGTTCATGGTGTAGGCGATCAAGGTCTGGTGGTGTGGGTTTTGTTATTGGTAGATAATCTAGGGAGTTTGGTTGCCGACTTGCTGCAAAACCTTAATCTCATCCCTCTACTCTCTTTTTCCCCCTGATTTAAATAATTTTTTTAAAAAAATTTAAAAAATAAAGAAGAAGAAGATATATCCGATCGTTCTCTCTAAAAACAAAAAACAAAAAATAAAGATAAAAATAATTAATTTTTTTTGTCCAAAATATCCTTTATAGATTTAAATTATCTCTATGATAATAAACAAATTTTGAGTATAAAATAAAATATTTATAGTATTTTTTTTAAAATGTGGATAGAGTTTTAGTTAAATTTTTAAATTTTTCAATGGTATTTATAATTTTATAATACCTCAAAAGAGTTTATTATGATTTTAATTTTAATTTGACTCAAAAGTGAGAGTATACATTTTGTTAAGATTTTTTGAGAATGTAAATTTTGTTGCAAAATTTGGGGTTTTTTTGGATCTCAATGAGGGGCTCTAGTGAAAACAACATAAAAATTTATATTTTCAATTTTGAGTCAAATTAACAAAATTTTGTAACAAAATATAAAAGCTTTTTTGATAACAATATATTTTTATCTTCAGCTTTTTATTTTCAATTTTTTTTTTTTGGAGAATGATCAAATATATATTCATATGAAAAAAAAAAGCAATTTGACATGTGCCGCAATTGTGTAGGGATAATGGTATGATTTAGCACCGTTAGCCTAAAAAATTAACGAAGAGATGAAACTAAGAAACAAATTAAACGTAGAGGGACAAAACTTAAGACAAAAAAAGTAGAGTGATATGATAAAGATAAAAGAAAAAGTAAAAATACCGTTTCAACTATCAACCCATAAAGATTACTTTTGTTACATTAATCTATGTTATTATAAATAAGGTAATTTTTTGATTCAACAATTAGATATATTCTCAAATCAGTTTGTGCGATAATTGAGATTAAATTTTATTTTCCAACAATCTTAAGAATGCATAGTGCCTTTATCGATCTAGTGCATTTTAAGAAATAAACTCTCTTAAATGTTGATCTTAAAATTCAATTTAAAAAAGTTAGCAGATAGAATAATTTTTTTTTTTTTTTGGATCTCCAAGGTATTCTAAGTGAAAAAATTCAAATTAATCTCTCGTTATTCGATTGGACGTATAAAACGGATACAATCATTTAAGGAGTTTTCTTCAAATATAAAAATTTGAATCTGGTATGATTTATTTAAATGACTATATTGCTTCAACTCAAGTCAACGCTGTTAGAATTACTTCAACACAAACCAACACTGTTAGATAGAATAAATTATTTCAACTATGAGACATGTGTCACAAATTAATTGATAATAAACTTTCTTGGCCACGAATCCTATGCCTTAGTTTTATTATAAATAGAGTAATGAGGCAAAAGAAAAAGTTAGGTTAACTTAATAAAAAGTTCACATGATGGAAAACACCCAAATTATCACTAAAAGCAACGATCTTGCTGAAACTGATGAGGTTGCTGAGCTCCTGCCATCCCTTCCCAAAGAAACGTCATGGAGATCTGGTTATATGTATCGATACCAAGGCTTTTGGTGTCCCGAAAAGCAGATTTCTGCGGTGATTGCATTTCAAAGGCACTTCGTAGCACACAAAACAGATACTATACTAGTCACTCTGCCTAAAACAGGTACAACATGGTTGAAAGCCTTGGCATTTTCCATTATGAACCGTGCAAAATATGCAGCCTCACAGAACCCTTTGAACTCTTTCAACCCTCATGGTCTCGTACCTTTCTTTGAGTATAAGCTTTATGCAAATAACCAAATTCCTGATCTGTCTGTCTTTCCGTCCCCTAGAATATTTGCTACTCATGTGCCATATCCATCATTACCAGATTCCATCAAGAACTCTAGCTGTCAAATTGTTTATCTTTGCAGAAATCCCTTTGACACTTTTATCTCCTTGTGGCATTTCATCTCCCAAGCAAGACCTGAAAGATTTGGACCATTATCTTTGGAGGATTCTTTTGATAGATTTTGCAATGGAGTGGCAGGATTTGGCCCCTTTTTTGACCATGTTTTAGGGTTTTGGACAAAGAGCTTAGAAAGACCAGAGAAGGTGTTGTTTCTCAAGTTTGAGGACATGAAAGAAGACATCAATTCACAGCTGAAAAGGCTAGCTGAGTTCTTGGGCTGTCCTTTTTCCGCGGAGGAAGAGAGAGATGGGGTTATAGAAGGAATATCAAAGTTGTGTAGCTTTAGCAATTTGAAGGACAAAGAGGCCAACAAGACTGGTATGTCTATTCCAGGCTTTGAGAATAATACCTTATTCAGAAGAGGTGAAGTGGGGGATTGGGTCAATTTTCTTACTCCCGACATGGTGGATCGTTTAAACAAAATCATGGAACAACAGCTGGCTGGTTCTGGTTTGCAGTTCAAGACCTGTTTCTAGAAACTAGATTAATGCATTGTCGTATCAGTTTCGTGTTTGTGTGTATTTAAGGGTGTGGGATCTAGGGACAATGGTGCTTCTGATATGACAAAACAATAGTTTTTGTCTCTTAAAATTACACCGAAATAAAACATCTATGTACGTTTTTTTGTTCCCTCGTGGCAAAGTGAATAAATGTTACTCGAAATTCTAATATGATAGTGCCATAAGTCGAGGCTTGTAAAAAAAAATATATATTAATATTATTATATATTTGTGACAAGTTATTTTACAAAATTTATAAACATATGTTACTTTACTAATATTAGTACTATCACATAATTAAATAAGTACTGATATTGTTCTTTTTTTTTCTTTTTTTTTTTCTAAATTCAATCCTTGTCAATTCTTTGATAATATAAATTTTTTAGTATCTTAAATTTTAAGTTTCAACTATTTATTTTTACACCTTCTCTCAACGAATGAAAAAACAAAAATGATAGTATTTAGAAATTTAAATGCTATAAAAAAGTTTATGTAAAAGACTCAATTGTTTATATCTGTCCTATAACTTTTTTTTTTTTTTTTTTAACGTTGATTGAATGTGTTTTAAAAAATATAGCAATATTCTTAACCTTCAACTACTTATTTGTAAGTATTGTGATTTTTTAAAAACACATTTGTTATTTTTGAAAATTTTCAATGTAGTCTTATATTTATATATATTTCGAAAACACATTGGTTATGTACATTATCTACATTCTCTGCACATGCAAAATATTGTTATATTTCAATGTTAGATGATACAGTTTCAAAATTTACTGTATACGATTTTTTAATGGTGATTGATGCCGATCGTCGTAATTACTTGTATTGTTCTCATTGAAACCAATTTTATATAGGAGAACAGAAAGAAGCATGGTGGAATCTCTCATTTTACTCTCATATGAGGGGAATAGACATATATTTAGAATAGTTTAGGATAATTTTAAAAACTCTCATCATTAATACTTTACATTCATATACTTATAATAATTAAAATTGATTTTTTGAAGCTTTTGCATTATTCTAAACTTTAAAATTACTTCCAACACTCTTCCTTAATTTGAAGGTCTCATAGCTCTTTAGATTTGAAATGTCTTGCAAAATTTATTGTTCTTGCATCTTCATCATGGAACATGGCTATTCTTAGTCATTTATCTCCTCTTATTGCTTCCACATTTTTCTGGCGCATACATCTCTTTTTAATATGTGACTTTTTAAGAGGCCATTTTATTTTGACTCCCTCTTCATCATACCGCTGCCTCCTTTTTTATAATGGCTCCTTAATTAGCCATCTTCTGCCGGCTTTTTTTTTTTTTTTTTAAAAAAATGTGTGGATGTTATTCTTAATCCTCTCTCCTTCGGGTCTTCTGTCCAGTTATTTTTGGAATTTCTCCTTTCTTTCTGCACTCATGCTATAAGCTCTTTTGAATGCTTCATAAGATGGAATCTAGCTCTGATACTATAATTAAAAAAAAAAAAAAAGATATTAAAAGAGAACAAAAGGAAGTATGAAGAAATCTACCACTGATATTATATCATATTACTCTCGTTTGAGAATAAATTTCTTAAGACTTGGATTTAAATTACAATTCTAAAAGAAATATTTATAATAGTACGCCTAGGAAACTTTAAAGACTCATCATTAATACATTACATTTATCTACCTAAAATAATTAAAGCACTCTTTAAGAAATTTACTTTTACACTATTTTTTACTTCAAAATTACTTCCATACAACTAATTAAAAATGTTCTTGCGGCTTGTCCTTGTCAGGCCATCTAACATCTTAACCTAAGCTATATAAGCTCTGGTTTCCCTAACATCTAAAATCTTTACACCTCTCATGGAAGGCACTCAAGTTACTAAAAACAACACTTTTTAGAAACTGAAGACAGTGATGAATGAAATAATCTACTGTCATCCCTTCCCAAAAAACATCATGGGTATCTGGTTTTTGAATGTATTTATACAGAGGCTTTTGGTGTTCTAAGGAGCTTCCTCCTGTAAGTTCATTTCGAAAGAACTTCCTGGCACACAAAACTGATGCTTTAGTGGTCACCGTGCCTAAATCAAGTACTTAAGTACATCATGGTTGAAAAGTACAAAAATACACCTTTACAAAGACCCTTGAATTTCATCAACCCTCATGTTCTCGTCCCTCATGGGTATCGGTTACGTACTTGCCTGATACAGATAGCTATACGGATTCTAATACATTAGGAATTCTAAAGATTTGGGATCATGAGTCAGACTTGGCTTTTCCTTGGAAGCCAATTTAGCATGCCAAAGAATAATGATGATACAATTATACAAACAACACCAAGAGAAGCGGCTGATTGACCAGAGAAGCAACCCACACCAGAAGGAAATGAGGATGTTTTGTGGCAGCTTGATTTAAGATGCGAACTAAGCCGACTTGAACCCTCACACCATGTCTACCTGAACTTTGATACAGGCAGCTTCCAGCAAAATCAATATTACTCTTAGCAACTTTTGAGGCCATTGATCTCAATGACTACCGATGAATTAAATACATATGGATCATCTGCTCCAGTTGCAATCGATTTCTATTCAAGGATATCATTCTTAATACCTTGCTTAACCAATGAGCAACTAGGCTAATGATAGGGAATCAAGCCAGCAATGCTATAACACTTCGAGTTGTGTTCAACTTCAAAGCTTCGGTTCTTAGAGGTGCAGTAGAGGAATAAAAATTCGCTGCAATTTGCAAGAACAGACGAGGAAAAACTATGTCAGGAACCTTGAAGCTTGAAAACTTACAAAGCTCAAAACTAAGGCATAAAAAAGAACAAAAAAAAATTGAAACTTTCCTTGCACGTTTGGAGAAATATTGTATTGAATCATTTGGAATGAAATAAAATGGAAGATAGTTTAACATCCTTTTATGCTTGAGTAGGAAATTCTCAGATATGGACACCTCTATTTATGTTCTGGAGTGCATTAATTGCTCAACATTTTGGTTTTGCATTTATTTCAAAAAAGATATGATGGGAAAACCCACCTAGAATCTATCCACCAAGAAGGAAATAGTCAACGAACTTTTCCATGAATCTGCTTCGTTCAGTCTGAACTTAGCTGAGTCAGGGAGGGTAATAATTTTCTTAATCCGTTCCATTTTGAATAGACCTACAGCAAAGAAAGGAAAAAAGGAAAAAACAATTCAAACACAGGCATTGGAAGAAGAATATAAATATAGGCACCAAAAGGGTGAAAAAAATCACAATTTCTAGATATTTACCTCAAGTGTGGATATGAAGAGGAACTCTCAAATCTCTTGACTCCAATCCATAAAAGTCGTGCATTTTGGCACCTCAATGGCTGAAGGAGTATTCTCTTCCTCTCCGAAAGGAAGAAGCTTACCTAAATGCAAGCTCTTTGCAATCCAACTAGCTGGCTGCAAAAGTTACCAACTTCAACTTAAAAGATGCAAAACTGATAATTGTGGGGAAAACCATAACATTTGAGCATATTCAAGTGCAGGAAAAATAGCTTTGGGCACTCTGGAAGCCTTAGATAATTTCCAATTCGTAAAGGGATTCTGTTTTTCAACAAAATTACTAATTAGAAAGGGTAAAAAGGTAAGAGAGAAGAGTACCAACCATCATGGGTATTTTCCTCTCTGAAGCACAGTGTCTGAGGTGACGTAATGCCCAATTCTCATTCTCAGCGACAATAGCTCCCATGGATATCTTTTCAGAGTCAAGACTCTCCACTAAACTTTGAAGGGTTTTGAACACCTGTCCACTTGCATGCTGAGCAGCCCAAACCAAGAAAAACAGGTTCATGTGGACTATAATTGACCAAGTAAATGCATCAAAAGAATGGGTCAAAATAACAAAAAAGAACAGTATGTTAGAGCAACCATTTATTAAGCCATCAGTGGGCACAGACATGGTGAAACTGGAATCACTATAACGTACATAGGAGTTAAGTGATAGGACAATATGTTTTTCTGTGTATCATATATAAACTTGAATGTCTACCGTTTGCATTTGCATGTTAAGCTTACATCATCTCAAAAATAAACCATATATTTAGCAAATTTTGATGGAAAGAGTCCAAATCCCCAATAGGATTTCAAGTATTCCTGCATCAAGCTCTTCACTACATCGATCTTAAAGCTAATTACACCATTTTCTTCAACAAAATTCGAGAAGACAGCTCATGAATTTCAATAACTAGCTTGACTAAACTTTTTTCCATCATCAAGCATATTTATGGTTTTGTTGATACATGTTGATTATTTTGAACAAACTCCCAATCACCATTTGCACTTGAAAAGAGCTTTGAATGAATAATAGATTGAGACTTCTGTGAAAGACTATATCCCAGATAATTCACAGGTAATTAAAATACATGAAGTACTTTAAGTCTGCTATAAAGACTACAAAAGGTAGATGAGAAATAGTGCCTTGATATCAACTTACCTTCACTATTGATGTCAACTTGGAGCAAAATCTGTGCTTCCCATGAAGCACAATACCCACTCTATCAAAAATACGTTTCTGATGATCGCAACGAACTGACTTACCTATTCTTGTACACTTCAGATAAGCCTGATTTGATATGATCATGTATCTGAAAAAGACCAATTACAAATCATGAAACCAAAGAAAAGAAAAAAAAAAAGTTGAGGCAAAGTCCGCATGCTTAAATCATACACATTGAAATTAATAATAATAATAATAATAACAGATTTGCAATTATTCAAAAGAGGGGTGGTATTGAGGGAGGTCAGGAGCCAAGGCCCTCCAAACATGGTATCTCTATTCTCTAGAAATAGAAGAAGCACCAATTCTCTATTTAATTATTCATACAAGTTCCAATATTTTTATTTTCAAATAACAGTGAATTGGAGAAAAATACAATCAGATAGTTATAATCTAACTGTATACAAATTTCAGTCTAATTATGGATACAAAAATACATGATAAATTGGTAGAGTTTATAGTCTAAACCCATCAACACCCTGCATTAAAATTCTTCCAAACCCATACAGAAAATAGATTATGCATGCTACAGAGACAAATCTAAATTTAAATATCAACAAGGAGGTCACGTATCAAATTTGCAGCATTTTACTTACAAGAATAAGAAAAAAGTTTGATGTGGCTCTCAATGAAGTTCCCTTCAAAACGATCAGGCAAACTAAGATATACCAATCCTGTCTAAGCTAAAGCTAATTCATAAATGGTGAAGTTTCTAAGGTTTTGCACCAAAAGAAAAGGAAAAGCGGTAAAGAAAGGGAAGACTTATAATATAACTATGAAGCTGTTTCATCCTCCACATTTAGACCGTCTTGTAACAAAGTCGTAGAGAAAAAGGTGAACATGTTTTCAAGAGCAATAGTTTTCGTTCAGCTACTGCCTCGCGGAATAAAAATATGTACAACTGAAATTGATTTTCAGACATGTCTTCTATCTTTCTCTTATGTCATCATTTCTTTCTCCACGCTTAGCCTAGACCTATGTCAAGGACATAATGTCACCAAGAATCAATCAAAATCATATATGTTTGGCCAATGAACCACTCATACTGATTATTCAGTATCAATGGCTTCAGTCACAACAATATACTAGCTCCAGCTGAAACGGGGATTAACATTTGCAACAGCTGGTACGTTCAATGTATTACAGTATTTAGACTTGAAAGCAATACAAGAGCAAAATTCAGTTACTAAATTCAGAAGCACAGATATAAAAGGAAGTTCATATTACAGCACAAGAGCATAACATACTTGTCAGGAGATACAACAGAACCTGCTGCAACTGAATCGGTAAGCCACTTTAATTTTAGAATGAGGGCATTCACAGCACATCCATACAAGAACTTGGTGGTTTGTAGCTGAAAAGAAAATGATTGTGTTTGAGGAATAATTATATCAATTACAAGAAAAGAAACTCCAAAAAATGATAGATTACCAAATAAACTTTTCTAATTCCCAAGAAAAAGTTCAGGTGGAGTTTGGTTCTAGAAAATCATCGATCTTTCCCAAATATTGTATGCGCTATCTTTTAATGATTAGCCAAAGGTAAAAGTGATTGTGTCAAAGTTAAGCGAAGCCAAAAGGAAGAAAAGTAGGTACCCTATCTTGAGAGTTGATGAGTAGCATGCTTCAGCAAAAATATGTGACAGCGAGAAAATAACGAATATTCATGGCTTCAAATCTATAAAGAAAGCACTACTACACAACCCTAACTCTGTTCGGGAACAAAAAAGATGATGAAAGAAAGTTAAGGGAACAAAAAAAGAGAGAAAGCAATGGAAGACATAAGGTTATATTGGCTTCTTGTGTTTGCATAGAAGGAAAATGGGAAAATTTAGTTTTCCTTGACTGAAAACAATAGAAAATCCTGTGAAACAAACCTTCTTTGAACATATAACAACAGGAAGGTCGTGTAGATTAGATCTTGAAACTTGCTTTGATCTTGAATTTGGAGCTGATGGAATATCCAGTAGGATCATACCACCATATATTTGTATTAGTTTCACAATCTCTTTTTCCTTCTTATGGGAAAATCCTGTGAGCAAGAACTCTAGACCATGAAATATCAATCTCTTTACATCCTTCATTTGACCTGCGAAACAACTTTTCACATCTTGAGTTCCAAACTCCGAGCAATTGTTGCAATATTTTTTCTTTTTATTAGCTCTCAATATAGAACCTACATAACAAATTAGGGAAAAAAATAAGAAAGAAAGAAAGAAATAAACATGTGTACCAGTAACTTCACGAAGATGAAGAAAGAAGTATGTCAGGTAATTGATAAGACAATCTTACCATTTCTATGTAAAGTTTGTTGCTTTCGAATGTCCTTGTTCTGATCAAGGTTGAATTCAACTTCTGAGAAACAAACTCGCTTTCTAACTGGATTCAGAGCACTAACGGAATTTTTCAACTTCAATTGTACCTTTCCAACATTTTTGCTCGGACAAAGGTTAATTATATTTTCTTGTGCCACAGCCAGTTCAGAATTTTTTCCTCCATTTATATTGTGAGCAAAAAGTTCAGACGTTTGTGGATGGCAGCGTGTCCTTCGGTTTAGAATAAGAGGTGACCTCCTCTGTACTGAAGGCTTAACCTTCATCTCAACCCTGTCCTTTGTAGGTTGATCATGACTTCTCTTCTGACCAGTTGTTTCAGCAACTAGATTCCTCATAATAGTGATGTCCTGATTTTCTTCATTATCTCTACCAACAGTGCTCTCAAACACAGACTTGAATGGCAAGACCCCTTTAGAATTTCTCTGATCAGACGACCTAATGCAGCCCATCTGCTGATGTGAGGAATGCAGATTTCTGACATGTCCTGATGAGCACCATCTATTATGGCAAGGTCCTTCCATCTCCAGGGTGGCATCACAGTTCGGCAAAAGTGTGCTATAAGTCCTAAGTGAGGCTACCTTCCTTCGAAGTGGTGTGTCAGAACATTTGCCTGTAATTACTGTTACAGCTTGGCTGTCCATATAGACACACTCAATTTTTTGATGTAAGGTTTTCTGGAAACTCTCCATCCCAATGTCTGTGTTGGGGCTGAAGCAGTTTTCAGCATCAACCTTTCTATCATTCCGAGCCAATGGGGAACCGGTATTTTCCAAAGAGATACTACAAGGAACGATAGAACAAAGTGGATCCACCAACGATAAATCAGAGGATCCAACCTCTTGTGAAATCAAAATTCCGTCATCAGCTTTACCATGTAAAGCTTCAAAGGGTATGCTGGACTGTGAACCTATATTGGACCTCATTTCATGTTTCTGCACAAAAGACTTCTCATCTGGGGCAATGTCAGCAGATTCGGAAAGAGAGCTTGTCTTGCAAACAAAAAACTTTGGGATAATTTTGGGGCTGTTCTGCTTCAACTTTGCAGAAGCATCTCCTTTCTTGCTGGACTGAGAACTTATATTGGACCTCATTCCATGTTTCTGCACAAAAGAGTTCTCATCCAGAGTGACATCAGCAGATTCAGAGAGAAAGCTTGTCTTGCCAACAAAAAATGTTGGGATACTTTTGGGGCTGTTCTGCTTCAACTTTGCAGAATCATCTCCTTCCTTCCTTGCATGAGCGGAAAAGGATAGAAAATTAATGACATGGTATAAGTAAAGTGGTGACTGAGAGATTCCAGGAGTATTTTGATAGAGTAAAATGCATTCCTCACCTCCAGTGCCCAACCTCCCAACCATCGGCTCCTGAATCTGTCTGCAATTGAATAATGTACCTTATGGTCTCCTTCTGTAAGGGGAATGAAAAGAAAACTTAAGGACAGAAAACTATCAACAACAGTTAGTAGAGAGGCAGAGGAAAGAGAAAGGACCAACTCACCAGCATTTTCTTCGCTACAAGCATGGAATGAGCTTAAATCCAATGCGGGCTGAAATGAAGTGTTTTCCGACGCAAAATCAATTCTTTATAAGCCAAAGAGAATTATTCACGTTAAAGTAATGTAGTACAGTACTACCACCAGTGACCTACCAAGCCTAGGTTTCCAGCTTTGGAGTATATAAACTGAACGAATAAAAGACAGAAAGCAAAGAGGAAAGTAGATAAACAAAAAAAAATGACTTCATATACCATTTTTTTTTTTTTGGATAGATAAGTGCGGATGTGGATGGGAGAAATCTGTTACCTTTGCCACTGATGAACCCTGTGAAAATTTCTCAGCTGCTTGAGGTAAAATGTGATCACCAAGGCATTTCCCGTCAGAGGGGTACAAACCCAAATCCGAATCATCATCAGCATTTTTTTGCTGAAGCAGTAGCTGTATATGTTCAGATCCTTTGTCCAGACGATGATTTTCTAACACAGGAGTATCTTCAACTTGAGATACGTCTAATTCACGAAGATGCTTATCATCACAGGCACTAAAAGATAACCCTACATCTAGGAAGGCATCCTCCATAATTGAATCATCTAAATCAGAGAGACAATCAATCTCATCAACTTCATCACTTGGGCAGCCAAAGGCATCTTCTGAGGCTGCCACCCGTGCTTGCTTAACATGCAGTGCAGCTTCGAGAATTGCTCGCTTTTCCAAAGCATCTGAAGATGAACCAGTCATCATGAATTTATGAATAACCAGTGCTTCAGATGCAGAAATTGATAGTTCAACTGCATCACTGATATCAGAATTTTTTATGTGTCTCGCGTTGCTTGTTTCCTCATACTGACATCCACGGTCCTCATAATTGGTAGCAGATTGTGGACCAGCATTCTCCACTGTTGTCGGAACAGAACTTAGAGGCGAATAATGCATCCTACAACTGACATTTTGGCCTATTTTCCCTTTGTACTGCCTCCAACCATCCTTATTGGTGGGAGATTGTGAATCAGCATTCTCCATGGGTATTCCAGCAGAAGTTAAGGGTGAAATTACTCCAACTCCGTCATGATCCATTTTCAATTGACATGCCTCTCCTGGGCCACCCGAAGTTTCAACTTGCTTCAAAGGCAGGGCTTTACTAGAATCATCCAATCTTTGAGTCCTACGTAAAAGCTGGCTTTGGCTATACTGTGAATCACTATCCGAAGAAAGACGTAAGCAAAGATTAAGCACCTGTGCCACATCAGAATAATAAATTATGCCAGGTTTCAAGTAAAAAAACAAAAAAAAATCCAACCAAATCTTATATTTTAAAATATCTCCAAGCAAATCACCTAAAATTAAAAATAAAAAGGTCGAGAACTTACATTCCCCGGGGTGATGCTATGCTGTGACTTAGTATCTTCTCCAGACAAGAACAAACGACAATTATTATAATAATTTCGACCTTCTTCTTCAATTGACAAAATCTCCACATCTTTTCCGTTACTAACCAAACCCTACGCGTCATAACATAAATCAGAAAATATTTGAATAAATAGAATATGAATAATAAATTAAAAAAATAATTAATTGCTCACTTTGAATTCTTGACTAGCTGCTGCTGGTGATGATGATTGTAGTTGAGGATGTTGAAGCCAAGCAGGAAGCCAAGCGAAATCCTGAAATCGATTGAATTAAATATAAAATAAATGAAAAATCAACAGAATTGAAAGGTTGTTTTTGTTGATCGTTACCTCAGAGAATTGAGGAGTACGAAACCCTAAACTTGCCATGGAGAGATTGCTGTGAGAGGAGGCAATTTTCGCGCCCAAACGACACTGGTGCTCAGCCCACTACTCCCGGGATTTACTTTGTTGTTGGCGCGAAAGATTGTGAAATTACGATCTGGATGCGTTCTCTCGATCAATTTTTATTATTTTTAAACGGTTCTTTTGTTTTTTGAAATTTTTTTCTTAATTGATTGTGATCCTTTTATTTTGAGAAAATCATAAATTAATCCCTCTAGTTCCTAAAAACGAATTAATTAGTTTCATTTTTTCAAAATAATTATTTAATCTCTATTTTTTAAAATTTTTTTGTAACCTAATCATTTTCGATCTTTTTCAATTTATTTTGATATTTTATCTTAAGAAATACAAAATATAAAAAAAATTGATGAGAAAAAATATTTATTAAAATAAAATAATATTAAATTAAACACAATCAATATTACTAAAGAATAAAATGATTAACCAAAAAGCTTTTAGTCCAGTGGTAATAGCCTTTCGCAACTAGAAGTTATATATTCAAATATTCACAAACTAGTAATTTTAAAAAAAATTAAATAATTAATTTTTAATAAAAAGTAAATTTATTTTTCAAGACTAGAGGGACTGATTTCTAATTTACGCCATTCTATTTTGACTTTTACAGTTTTACCTAAAAACTAAATTTTGCAAAATGGTCGGATCTACTGAGCCTATGAATAGCACGAGCACCTGAAACTTTAAGGTTTTATAACATTTGAAATGACATGACTGACACCACGTCGTCTAAAGATACTATGTTTCTGAAGAATATCATTCTTATCAAAAATGCATTTTGCTTGTTTGGTTGCTTGAAAAGGAAAAAGAACAAAACAAACATTGTTGTTGTTGTTTTTTTTTTTTTAATAATCATAATTCGTATCTTTACACCAAAAGTATACAAATATAATGCAAATAAACACATGACTTACAATTATATATTTATATATTTTTTTCCTTTCATTTAACTAGAAAAGGCATATTTCATCCAATAAAAGAAAAGAATTAAAACGGGTCAAAACTTGGGCTGGCAAGGCATGATGCTAGCCCAAAGGACATGAGCCTAGACTAGCGTTAGACCCAACAGGTAAGAGATAACAGGCTTATCTGCCATGACAAGTTTAGCAAATCGGTCCAGCAAATATGGGCCGAAATGATACAACATCACCCACTTATTAACTTTATGTTGCAACTAGCAACATTTAATTAGGAGAAAAAAAGCCAGGCACAATGGGGTGGTCTCTTGATTATTGTTAAAAGATTAAGTTCATAAAGTCCAAACTGCTTTTTAAGTAGAATCAGAGTTTGGTCCAATTTCAAGGATGAAAAAAAAAAAAAAAAAAAAAAAGAGGAAGCAAAGCATAATAATAAAGAACAAATAACATGCCATAAATCAATGACGACAACTATTAACAGGTTAATCTTGTGTCATTCGGGGATTTTTCTATTTTCTATACAGAGATGACAAGCTGTAGCAGCTTGAAAGTTGAAACACAGAGTAAAATGGAGCAGCTGCGCCATCAGACGAAGCAAGGATATTGCGTGAGGACATCATGTTGGCATAAAATTTTTGCACGGACATACTTCTTGTGCAACCACTTAGAGACAAATGTTGGACTATGAAATTCATGCGCTGGATCCATCACTTTTATTTCACAAACGAGGTAACTGTAAGATTAGCCATTACATCATGCCTCGGCCAGTTTTAGGTGAGGAACAATATTCATCGATTGAAGTTCCTGGAGTTGAGGGCCATTCATTAGTAAAGGTTCATCAATAAAGCAAGCAGTGAGCTTTGATATATATAAACAGAGATCAAAAGCAGCACTCTTACCTGAATCAAGAGCTTGCAAGCATATGGCAGCTTCATGGTAGAAATATTATCCCCATTTTTACACGTGGTACAAAAAGCAGCTTTCAGCTTCTGACTGTAATATCCTAATAAACCACAAGCTCGGCAAACCTGCATCACATGGAGATGCTATCAGCTGTTATGGAAATATAATAGACCACCCTTCTGCGTTATTATACAGAAGATATACATAACTAGTGGATTTAGAGGCTGTAATAAGTACAGCAGTTTACAAGGATTTTTAAATTTGAGTACTCACTAGTCACTACAAGGCAACAATAACACCAACAATGATGATGGTGCCAACGGAAGCATACAGAGAATTTGTGCTTGTGCATGAACTTTGTTTGAATAAGGACCTCATGTCAAAATTCAGTATGAGCATGTAGGATATGGCAAATAATAAATAAGCACAGTTTAAGTTACCTGAGCTTCAAATTGATCACTGGAAACCATAAGGCGCTCATAAAGCAACATGCTAGTGCCATATGCAACCAAACAGTCCTTTTCCATTTCTCCTACTCGAAGTCCTGGAGAAAAAGCATTTATCTGAAAACAAAATCTTCTTAACATGAAATGTAAAATGATGAAGTATCTTGGCACAGGAAAACAAAACCTCCATTTCGAGCTCTCCCTTCAGTAGGCTGTCTGGTTAGCATGACACGTGGTCCATTACCTCGAGCATGCATTTTATCCAAGACCTAGTCAACACAAGATATGCGTTATCAAAAATAGGAAGGTGCAAGAATCTTGTGCTAATTTAACAAGTATGAGATACAGAAAACGTAATGTGACAGGGATACATGTGATGTGTGAACGAAAAAAGAGTAGATGCCATGTTATAGGTACTATCAGCAGATCTGTGTTATAGGTACAGAACCAGAACCAGTAATGAGAAGTTGAATTCAAATATTTTGCGGGAAAAAGAATACCCAGAGCCTCAAATGGGCAAAAGCGAGAACTTTCATTTAACTGAGTAAAATTGAGAACTTGAATACACAGCAAACCTTAAACCCAGTGCCATGAACATTCCATTTATGTTAATTTGAAAGCTAAAGATTTGAAGAGCCCAAGTACAAGAAGTAAAATAAGTGTGATAACAACCATGGGCAGCTATTCAAATACAAATAAACAATGTCATGCCAGAAAGAAAGATTAAGATCTCTCACCATATGTTTTAACTTCTGGTAGTAAATTGGTCCCATGAAAATATACGATTGCAGAGGACAACCTGAGATGCCTGGGGAAAAATTAGAGGTGTCAGGGTGCTTTTCTTCATATATCCACCAAAAAAAAAAAAAAAAGAAATTGTAATGTGCACATAAAAACAGATAGAGCTACAGTGTTTAAAATCTCTTGTTCTTAGAGAATCCGGATAAAAAATGGTGGAGAGATCCACTACCATACCATGTTGGAGATTTCAACACAAGAGCTTAAGTTGGTAAATTGAGAGGGCTATGTTGGATATACCAAATTTGTTGTCTAGTTGATAAACGTTATACCAAACATTATGCTCTTCTGGAACAACCTTGATAAAATATCTTAACCCAGTTTAGTCTGATGAGACTCGGAACAGTCTATACTATTTAAAACTCAATAAACAAAATAAAAGAATTATGTATTTAAGACATCATGTCCATTCAGAAAATCGTAGCATGTGAACTATATTCAGGTATGACTTGCATATCAAATGATTTTTTGGAACATGACATTGTCTCATCAATGCATGTATTTCATCTTTTATTCATTTAGTGCATGAATTCACAACTGTTATTCTTTAAAGCAAGTATTCATGATGCTTGAAGAAAATCAAAATGAATTATTTCAAGAAGTGATGTAAGTTGTATTTCATAAGTAATAAACTTAAGTGCAAACGCAGAAAAACCTGAATAAATGAAGTCCTTGCCATTGTAGCTGAATCCATGCTTAACAAGTGTTTCACTGTCATGAGGCAGAACATTGTTCTAAGAAAAATGAAATTGAAATACACAGGCCAACTGTAAAGAACAGAGGAGAAAGAAGTTGCCTTATAGCTTCAACCCTGTCTGCATGACCACTTGGTTCTCCAAATGCACTACCATAATGAAATCTACCACATGATACTCCAGCTTTACCCCCAAGAAGCTCTATCATCTTCCCAACAGTCATTCGACTATAGATTAAAAAGAAATATACATCATTATTTAACTCGCTCAGATCCTGCACTCCTATCAATTGAAAAAATACCACATGACAATTTATAACTTTTGTCCTTGCAAAAGGAAATAGTTGTGAAAAATCATAAAGCAGGATCAAGTGATTTCCATGAGAAGAAACACGGTATTGAAGAAGCAAGTGAAGTGCCCACATGAAATATTGCCCAAATAATATCACATAGTAGTTCAATCTTGTGTTGTGTTCTTGCGATTGCAAATATATTGGGTTTTTTCTTTCCATATCAGCAGAGTTAAGAGGAGGTTGCAACCAAAGACATGGAGTTGCAGAAGTAGCACAAGTAATAATCCAATCAAGGCAGTCACAGATGTCAATTATTGAGAACACAGCAAATTATTTGTAATGGGCAGATTGCAAAAACTTCACTAAAAACTGATAATACTTCTAACTACCATGAATAAAGGCAGAGTCTTTTAAAATAGACAAATTACTCATCACATGGTCAAAATCCTTAAAAGGGGTATTGTGGATCGTATTACCAAAATCTGCATAAATATATACAGGAAGTTGTCGCCACTCCCTACCACTCTGCCTCAAGGAAATCTTTTGGGATGCTTATAATAGGTGAATTTCAATTTAGCAAGGTAATGATGGTTATGCCTTCAACCAATAAATCATTGGAGATTAGAAAAAAAAGTACATCAAAAAACAAACTACTTTCACCATTGTTCTCATAAAAAAAAAAAAAAACCTTCTATTGGATTTTTTATTTAAACAAGTACCAATAGCTTCAGTTTTAAAAAGCAAGACAAATAATTGTTATTATATTTTATGTTTTGCAACAAAATTATTTTTCGTAATAAATTTTTTAAAAAAGTTCAAATTGTTTTATTTCATCCTTAATTACCCTCAGAAGTATAAACTCATACGATTTATCCTTCAATCATTAACTTAAATAAGAGAACTTTTAAATTTAAACTTTTTTTTAACCTCCTTTTAACTGTATGGAAACATAAACCCTCATTATTTCCATAATTTTCTAGAAAAAGACAAGAAAAAAAATAATACACTACATGCATGGCATGTGCATTGTTTTAATTGCTATACAAAAGCCACTTTCATATGTACTAAGCTCATCGATCTCACATTTACTTGCATTACTCAGATAATTCCAAATGGGCACTTTTAAGTCCTTTTAGCTGTGATGGTCCACATGACATAAGGGTTAAAATTGCATGCATAATTATCAAAGCTCTTATTCTACTCAGAAATAAAAGGAAGTTAAGAGGCTTCACAAACGTCTTTTGATGCATTTCAAGAAAAAACTATGAAGCATAAAAAAAAATGATTGCTTGCTAATTAAATCATCAACCAGTGTATATAAAGTACCAAGGTTACAAGTATAAAGATAGACAATAAGTAAACAAAGAAACACGTAGTCCAACATATGTAAACATTACCAGGAAATAATCAAAGGAACAAAACATGGCACATTAGCGATGCCTAAAGTACTTGAAAACTTCAAGTTAAGGTTATGTATTTGTGATAGATAAATTGAAAATTTTATCATGCTTGCATATCCACCATTTGAGTCTCCAACAATTATTACAATAATTACATATCCAATTTGACATGTGGACAAATATGCAAGCATACGTTTCATGCTTGTTTGAGTAATAGCAATGAGATTCCCTACTATCATGCTCAGAATAGTTAGGATTTCCAGAAGAAGATGCCATTCGTTTGATGAGAAATAAAAAGGAATATCAAAAATTCAGAGAGTAATCTTGGAAGTACAAACATAACTGAACTATTTCAGAAAATTATATTTAAAAGATGTACTCATTTGTCATCCAAACCAATATAAAAAGTTATTGGTACTTTTTTCTTTTGCTTTTGCTCATCAACTATGGTCATAAGATGGAGAAACGGTCATGCAAAACATCAAAAAGGGCAGGAGGGGAACAAAATTTTGATGCACTGTCACCTGTTGCCCATCGCATTAAGATCTTCAGTGATATAAAAGAATTACTGATGCATAAAGGCTGTGGCATCTTAGAGTTATCAGTGGTCACAGACCTACTATCTAGAACATGGCATAATTTGATAACCTATATGGATACAGATAAAATATATGTAGCCTCCATTCGGAGCCCAGATATTACTTTCTTCTTCCATTTAGTTAGCACTAAACGATAAGGACAGCACACTAACTTTTAGTGAAGAAGGATACCTGGGAAACCCATGGGGGTTCATGATCAAATCGGGGCAAATACCACGTTCAGAAAATGGGAAATCTTCTTGTTGAATGATTGTTCCACAGACACCTTTTTGCCCATGTCTGCTACTAAATTTGTCACCAACCTTAGAATAAGTAAAAAACAAAATGATGCTGTCTCAATTCACCGAAAGAGCTCAAGTAGATGAATTATATTTCACAGAGTAAGGGAGAAAAGGTTTCTTACCTCTGGTCTACGAGTATGGCGAATTTTATACTTGATACATAGATTGTTATTTTTATCAGAGCAAAGAGCAACTCTATCTACTACACACGACTCCCCTTCGGTACCTTTGAATGTTTGAGCACAAGGCCGATATTTGCTGGATATTGCAATGCAGGTGAGAAATAATGATACCAACAAAAAGGTAATGATTAAAAATTGAGGGAGTAAACTACTTACGCATCTGCTAAAGCAGCTGCAGACTTTAATGGGCCCCTTGTTTCAATTGGGATCTCCTTATTTATATAAATATCACCATTCCTAATAATTTCCCCAGGAGCAGCAAGTCCGTCATCATCCAACACCTAGACAAGTAACACCATGTGGCACAGATAAAACACAAGAATTATCTCATACTGTAAAAGGTTCATCGTAATATACACGAGTAAAAATAGTTGAACAATTTTCCTGCGCCTTGCCAGTTTTATAATGCTTAAAATCCCAAATCAAAATACAATGCCTCGCCAGTTTTACAATGCTTAAGATCCCTAATCAAAATACAAAGCCTTTTTTTTGCCTTCTCCCTAGTAGTAAGTCATTGGTATATTAGGGAGCAACAAACAAATGAAAGTCTTAACCTAATAACCCTAAAGTGTTCTGAAGAACGAGGAAAAGGAGGGTTAGAACTTAGAAGAACAAAGAAGATGTACCAAAGAGAGACATACAAGTGTTGGGTCTCTCCAGAGTCCATATGTGCTTTCATCAACACTTGAAGACATAAATAAAAAATTGACAATAATAACTAAATCTTTTCATTTTTTTTTCTTTTTTGGTATCTCATTTAAATTCTAAAGACAACAAAAGGGAAAAGGATTGAAACAAAGGGATATCTCCTCCCCACAAGTCATCTACAATGAAGTTGGGAATCACTTCCAACCTTGAATTTTAACCAGACAAGAAAATAAGGAGGAAAAAAAACATGTGAAATGAAATTCCAAAGATTGCACAAGTAACAGCGCAACCTTAGCATTCCAGTCATCTTATCAAAGATCATACTTACTCCAAATCAGGTTATGTCAAATAAACCAAGGCTCTACAGGAAATTGCCACAGAATGTTTTCAAACAACATGTCCAAAGCGCTAAGCCTTCTTTTACCTAGGCTTCCATGTCTCCTAATTAACCAAACGACCCAAGCTGTGAACCCCCCCCCCCCCCCAAAAAAAAAAAAAAAAATATATATATATATATATATATATAGACACACACAAACACATCTTTTATCATGTTCAGCAGCACTAACAGAAATCCAAAACAAATAAAAATACCATAAAGGAATACTAGAATAAAGGGAATGAAGCACCTTCACCCATCAAGCCTCTCTAAAAATTTCTCAAAAAAAAAAACAAAAAAAACAAAAAAAAAAAAAATCAAATAAGCAACTTAATGAGGAAAGCCTCCAAAAGGGATCTCTAAGCAGTACAGAGGTAAGTGATGCAGGACATATCCTAATTAGTAGTTTACATTACAGTAACAACTTTCATATAATTAGCGTTTTCACCTTTACTTGTTTGTTTATGCATATTTATTAGGGGAGTTTGGACGGCTTAGATTTAGTTATTTTTAAGGGCTACTGATGCAGAAGCTAAAAAAATTAGAATCCATAGATCTTTATGTGATTTTTGGAAGATAGGGAAAATCCCAATGCTAAGGCAAACATACCTATATGGCTTAACCCCCAACTAGAATTATCCTATAGACGATCATTTTGCTAGCTTGTATTGCAGTATTGTAGAATTCTGGGGTCTAAACTGCCAGGGCGGTTGTAATTTTGTATTCACAGTAGTAACTTTGGAATTTGAAAAGTAGAGGAAAGGCCAGTTAGTTCCACCTATGGGGCACCTCCTTGGTGCACCTCCTTAGTTTATGTGTGTGTGTGGTGTGTGTCTCTTTGTAAGTCCCCACTTTTGGAGATGAATGAATGTGAATTTCACTATGTACTTTGAGATTTGTGAAGTAATCTATCTTTGATGACTTCTGAGAACCCTAGGTTGTGATGCTTAGGTTTCTATCTTCTAGGTGTAATTCCTAGAAACCCTACTAGTGTGACTAGTAGTTTTTGTATTCAGTTTAATTCATTAATTGTATAACCCTTATCCTTCATCCTGCTATCTAGTTTGATCATCTTACCCTTAAACACATCCCAACCCTCCCCTGTAACCTATTTCCCAAGTTCCTAACCCACCAAATCTGCTATAACCTGAAAACCTTAGATTTAGGTTGTAACTCCTCCTGCATCAGCTAGGATTTCTTTTTATTTAGGATTTTGTTTAGTATTTAAGGGCTGCTACTACTGTAGAAAAATTAGAAAAAAAAAATTGAAAGAAGAGCAATTTGATATTTTGAAAATTTTATGAAGAACTTTGTTATCTTTTCTGGTGGTACAGTCCAGATAACCAGCCTTGGATACATTTGCTATCTTTTTCCTTTTCTTTCTATATCAGTAAACCCAAAGGAAGTACAGGTGAGAGACCATCTAGCTGTAAAATTATCAACCTTGAAAAAGCCTGATCCTAACGTATTTTTCTTTTGTTTTAACAGTTATTGTTAGTCCAAGAGAAAAAGGGAAAACGAAAGCCAGAAACCAACAAATGTTCATTAAACTAAACTAAGAGAATAATACAGATACAAATACTGTGCTGAGAAGGGAATGAGTTGGGGTGAGTGGTTTTATACCCTCTCTCTTTCTTCATTTTTTCGTGGCCTTAAAATTCTGTCTTGTGCACCATTCTCATACTTTTGCATGGTGCCAGTGTATCTGTCACGGAGCAAGACCAAAATAAGCAACCACTAAAACTTTATGAGAGCAAGCAAAATCATGCAGGGAAAACACTTGGAACGGATGCAATCACAATGAAATATAGAACGACTAAGGGTGTCAAAATTATGTACTTCTTCAAAACGATACATCGACCAAAACCACGATCTAGAGAGGCCTTGTTCATGACTATTGCATCCTCTATGTCATAGCCACTATAACTCATCACTGCAACTGTTGCATTCTGACCAGCCCCAAGCTTATCATAACCAACCTGGAAGAACACTGATTAGTTCACAGCCCATGATCCTCACGGCATTTATAGTAGGTAGATGATTACCAGTTCAATTGTTCTTGTAGTCAATAAAGGCCGTTGAGGATACACCAATAGGTAAAGTAACGAGTCCATACGGCCTAACTGCAAAGACATGAAAGTCACTAGTTAAGAACAAAACACCACTTAATGTGGAAAGTTACACAATACATCAACACAGCCATTCATCAAAAAGTGAAAATAACAACTAGTTTAGATATTGGCAGCGGCAAGAGCAACAGAAAATAATGCAAGGAACCAACAAGCATTGTTATACATATGCATTCTCATACGTTTAAACTTGGATGAAACAGATCAATAACAATGTGTTCAGTGGAAAAGGAAGTCATATACACAGAAAAACAAGAAAAGAAGTACCATCTTTTGCAGATTTTTGAAAAAAATGCTCATGGATAACACTTTTGGGATTCTTTAAGGGAAAAAGATAACTCAGCCAATCCTTTTGAATCAAACATAATTTGGGAAAGACAATTTAGTTTCATTCAAATGGGAAAAGATATACCACTAGCCCATTGAGCTGGTTGAACAATAAACCACATTACCCAAAAGCACCAACTGGCATGCTTCAAGTTAAAAAGGTAGTTAGGCACTCCAACATGATAACAATGATACTAATTAGCACCTTTTTGTTAAAAAAAGTCTTGGAGAGAGTGCAATGAGAATCTAGCATTTGATGATCTTTCATCTACAACTCCATAATGAAATTCCGAAAATTTTCAATCAGTTGGAGTACACAAGGGAACATCATTCCAAATTGTTTCAGTACATACGGATTTCAATCCATATAGTTCTCAAAGGCTAAAGTTACTTGATAACTCATTATCATTTTTCATGCGGAAATTAAAAGGATCTTTTTCTTTATTGACCATGTTGGTAGCAGTACCACACCACAATCAGCAATCTAATGTACAGGCAAGAACAGTCAGAGCCTGCATAAAAATGTAATAATTCGAACAAACCAATAAAATAAGAGGAATTGCCTGGTTGTATGCAATGTTTCCCATAGCTTGCTTCCCCATAGCACACTGTCACAGGATACAATAAAGATTAAAGGAACGAACTTTAGAAATTGAAATGAATCACCTTAAATATAGGGTAAAATAACACAAAAAAACCTGATATGTATTTCTTGGTGACTGATTATGATGAGGATATGGAATTAAACCAGCAACAACACCTAATATCGTGAAAGGCTCTATCTCAATATGGGTTGTCTCAGGAGTAGCCTCCCATTCGTACAAAGCAATCTGTAAAACAGATAGTAATGCACGAAAAGGTCATTGTAAACCAAAAAAAGAGAAAGTAATTGAATAATATAGTTAAAGTTCACATAGAGACTTCATTAGATAAAGACCAACCAAAGCATTGTTCTCTTCATTGACATCAAGATATTCAATCAACCCCTCGTGTAAGAAGTCATCAAAAGTGCAGGCTCCATCCTTAAAGAAAAGGAAAAGTAAAATCAGGTTTAGAGTACCATCCTTTGCTTTGGTCCCAATAGAATAAATCAAACTCACCATTAACTCTCTCATATGATGTTCTTTAATTCTTGATATGCCTTTGTCTGCAATAACTAGAGGACGACAAACTCGACCTCCATCAGAAGCAATGTACACAGCACGCTGACAGACATTTTTTACTCAATATCAGTTGCTTGCAGTCCACAAAAAGATAGTCCCATTAATTATAAGATGCAGAATAGCAAGAGAAAAAAAAAAAATGACTAAGAAAAGAGAATGATGAAATCAGTCATTTTTAGTATTACTAATGAATTTTCTACTTCCACAGCAAAACATGCATCATTATTCCGTGTCTTTTGTACAAGTAGGAGAAACTAATTAAAAGGACCATGGATAATGAGATGTTATGCCATCCTAAAGAATAAGCAGAAAAGCCCTTTTTAGACCAGTCATTTTTACAAGCATTAGAAGCTTCGTACACATGCATTATGGACATTTTCACAGGTAATAGAAATTGTGTACTCTCATCCATGAGAGTGACTGCAATGTGTACATTTTCACAGGTACAAGCTAAGGGCCTTATCCCATTGGGGAGCACATGTCCTCTTTGGGGGCTGATCATATGTTAGAGCCTCATTGACTCCTTGTGGGTATGAGTATCGTCCATGTATAACAAACCCCCATGGTCCCCTCGGGACCCAAAACACAAAAAAAGAACTTTGCACTCTATCTGTTTTTATTTTTTGTATTTATTATTATTTTTTTATATTATTGTTTTGGTGCTACACTCTCATCCATTATAAATTAAGTAAATGGAGGTACGTTTAAAAATGCCACGAACAAGGTAGTGTATGCAGCCCTTAAATCCTACAAACACAAGCTGTATGAATGAAAAAGAAAACTGAACTCTAAGAAGGATGAGAAAATCTAATATAAAAGAGAACGCTACAATCCTAAAAGCTTATACACACAGACAATTTAGAAAAGGAGTAAACAGGTAAGCATGTAAGTCCATGAGCCATATCCACCAGAGAAGTTAGGACTCTTACTCATTCTGGGGATATGGGCCATGGTCAACCCATTCTGGTAAGCCACCTTTTGAGCTAAGTCCCTAAAAATGCTTGTTACTTGAGCAATGGGGTTCAAAATCTTCCTTTAAAGGAGGGAAACAACATAAAACGAAGGCCTGGCATTGAATATCCCAGTAGTTAGTTCATTCAATCCCATAAAATATCAGCTAGGGAACACCCATAAAAGCTCCAGCAGCATGACACCAAAAGGAAGAAAGGAAAACCATCCCACAACAACTATCTCGAGCATTTCTCTCCAACCAAGCACACATCATCAAAACTAAAGTTAGTAATTCTAACTTCCTCCTGAACCCCACAAAAGACATGGGAAAGAAACTATGTTATATTCTGCCACTTTTTGTGGAATCACCAATATTCCGTCAAAGTATTTTATTTTTCAGGACAGCATCGGTGGCGCAAAGCCATAGAGTTATTAATTCTATCCTCCTCCCGAAACCCACAAAAGACAGACAAGAAATTATGTTATTTTTATTTATCATAATTGAAACATGATCGTTGATGCAATTTGTTACTAATGTTTTACTTTTTGATTCAGATCCATCATTTGGCCTATTTTGTCCAATGGATATGACGGAAGAAATTACCTGCTTCTCATTCACAAAGACACTTACAAACTCGCCAATTTTGCCAGCTCTTCGCAACTTTCTCATGGCATTTGCAAATTGCTAAACAAGTGTTTGGGGAAGGAGAAAGAGAAAGTCAATGAATCGGCTGAAAAAGTAATTACATCAACATCTGCTCAATGAAACTGAAATTTTACCTGTGGCCTCCTGTGCTTGCCAAGAATAAGTCCATTAAAAATAACCAGAAAAGAATTTGGTGTGTGAAGCTCTTCTCCAGAAAGAAGTTCCAAGTCTTCTACACCCAAACACTTGCACTGCAGCAAAATTGCAAATATCACAATTCATTTCTGAAATGCTAACAGGCGCAAAAGGCATATGCATGTATGCTAGACAATCATACATATGCATACGCAAAGGTAGGTATAGCTAAAAGAATGTATAAACTAACAGGACATAGCTGAAAGAGACAGTTTTCCTGTTAAATATTTTTACATGGCCTGTCTAAATATTGGAGCAGCGAAGGTACGCCTAATTTTCCTTGACAAGCAATTAAAAATCTAATTTAAAGTCCCAGCCAAAGCATCTCTTTTGCTTGAGAGAACTTCAGGTAGGATGCTCACCATTGACCATCTAAAGAGAGAGGGAGATGAAAATTCATAGAACATGCTGAATTTGTCAACCCCCTTCTAGCGCATTCACAGTGCAATACATCTAGCAGATTCCTTTCTCGTTAAAGACTCAGCTGACATGGAGTTGGAATCTTAATACTGAGAGTCGTTTTCATTTAGAGAGATATATATGTCTGCTTACCACTGGGTATTGTTTAAGTTTTATAGAGAGGAATTCAACAAGAGAGTGTTAGAAACGAATCTTTGCATACATCTCTTAAGGATAATGGGGTTAAGATTATATTATTCAAAAACATGACAATCCTTCATTGACAAGGTTTGTTTTTAAAATTTTCTGGCTGCTGGGAGGCAAGTTATCCATTGAGAGACACAAATGTTGGTATATCACTACATATAAACTTTCTCCATAAATTCAAGGTAAGCCTTCATATGATTTTAAACATATGCAAAACATTGTATATGCTATGTTCATGAACAAAGGGAAATTTAACTAAGGACAAACCAGAGAAATTAACGGACTCTCTTCGTCATCAGTTGTAACATGAGTCATTAGGGCCAAGTTCTTCACAAGTCCACAAGCTTCTCCTTCTGGAGTATCACAAGGGCAAAGCATACCCCACTGGGGAAAAAAAATAGAATCAGTAGAATGCAAAATGAAAAAGAAAAACCATCAGCAATAGACTGAATATAAGCCTAAGCGGCACATGACAATTGTGCAAGATTTCTCAAGGCAGTGTGGAGACATCAAGATTACCTGACTAGGTTGCAATGCCCTGGGTCCACTTACTTTTCTGGACTTCTCAAATTGTGGTTGAATTCTGGTCATGTGGCCCAAAGATGCCATATAGGATAACCTGACTAACACCTGTTGGCAGAGGATTCTCCATCAGCTTATGTGATACTAACAAGAAACAAAGAAATGACGCAAAAGCAATGATAATGCAAAACAGGGGAGATACTCAGCACAGAACCTGTGTCACGCCTTTCCTGTTCATTCTAAACCGTTTGACATCCCAGTTACCAGTAGAGAGTGCTCTTTCTAGCCCATTGGTAATACTATCTCTAACTATATACTAGATCAGGAAAAGAAGACAAATAATTAGTGAAACTTAATCCAAAGAGAACTTAACATAATTAGCATTAAATGAAACAACAAAAACCAGATTCCAACAAAATAAAAGGCTAAATAATTTCTTTGATTTGATTTTTATAATCAGTATATGAAACTCCATTAAATCAGGTCTTAAATAGAGTTGATTTTCCAGCTACAAGATCCACCACTTACTTGAGAAAGGTCAAATCGGCTAGATCGGTTTCGTTTTGCTAGCGTACTGTCTGCTATTTTCTGCACCTCAGTAATCATAGTCTTAAACAAATCCTACAAAGCAAAATCGAGAGAGAGAGGGAGGGGGAGGGGGGAAATTGAGAGCCAATTAGCTAGTAACTATAGTAGTTCAATAAGTATGACCTTGATCCACATTACCTCAAAAAGCAGAGAAATTAATTGGCCTGATAGCTCCAATCGCTTGTTACCTACATAATCCTATAAATAAAGGAAAACAATTTATTTGAAATCTACCGTCTCTATTCATCCACATACTCCATACACTCAAAGAAAGATATGCTTTGACACACCCAATCTAGAACATTTACATGGATTGACATGGCAGACCAATCAGCCTGTTTCAGTTGACAAAACTATAAAACAATTTGAACAGCAAAAGATAGAGGAAAGGGCAACCATAGTATCTAAAGCACCTATCTGATCTGAAAAACAATGCAGCAACCAACCTAAAATAGTTCATTTCTAAAAGCGAAAATCCTCGTGCAAAATTCAAGATGTGCAGATGGTTAATCCACGGTCAGGGTAGCCTGTCCGATGCCTTAAATGACGTTCTAAATTGAAATTTGGATAAGGTAGGTGAATTAGCCAAGGAAATCAATCTCTGATGCTTGCCATACAATCGTTTTGAACAAGATAGAAAGCTGCATGTTCAAAGGTGTAAACAACTCACACCTCATGATAAGCATGGTTTCTTACTGTCGTTTGAATGGCTTCAGAACAACCAGTATAATTCATATAAAAGAACTTTCATTCATATATGAGCTATCATACTTCGATACGACCATACAGTTGATGCTTTTTGTAGATTCTATATTTAGATTAAAAAATTAGATATAAAATTAAGAAAGTGTTCATGTCTTACATCCCAAAATGAATTACCTTGTCATCCATTGCATCCTTGTTTAATATAGCCTCCATTATCCTTCTCAACATCACCGCAACATATATACATTTTGGGCGGAAATTATTCTTGCGCACCTATAATGCACAAGAAAATGTTAAACTATCCATTGAAAACCGGTGATCCAATTTTAAAACTGAGACACATCTTACCGGAACATTAGCAAGAAATACATCTCGAAGAATGGCTGAAGCTCTATTTTCCTGCTGAAGACACCAAATCATTCCACTGTGAGACAAAAATACCAGCAATAAAAAATAATAATAGCTCATGTCTAAACATTTAGATAGACAAAGATACAGGATATATATTACTCCAGACAAAGATATAGCATATATATTAGTTACTCCACACATATGCATATAAATTGAGAGAGGGGGAGAATACCTTTTCAGATGACAAACTAGAGTATGTAGACCTCTTCACCTGCAATAGCAATCCACTGTTATGAAAAATGAGCCAAAAAGATGTGTATGATGTTAACAATAACAATCACATGAAGTTAGTCGACATGGTTTTATGAAGTTGAGAAAAATACGCAATCAATCAAACAAAAACCTATAACACTAAAACATAGCTTCCTTACAAAAAAAAATGTTGAAATGGCCAGGATTCAAGAAGCAAATGAATCTTGGAAGTGGTTAGGGAACTCCCAAAGGAATTCAACCACAGTAAGCCTAAACAGCTATTATGCTTGGTAATCACTAGATGGTTATCTCGTGGGTAAGGACAACAATGTCTAAGTGGATCAATGAATTGCTACATTAGATCTTTATTGTTGATCACTTGTTTTCTTTATAAAATTTCTCATTTAAACAAATGAGAGAGAAGTAGAGAGAGGGTAATGCATTTTCAAAAAAAGAGGGCTGAAAAAAAATTGCAACTTAGAAAAGAAAAAAGGTATTGGGTTGATACTGAATCTTATAGGCAACCATATTTATTCGAGGCAACAATCACATGGTTGAGAATTTAACACTAGGAATCAAGATGACAACCCATGGAAGAGCAATATGAAGGGACACATAGGGCTCAATACGTGCCATCAATAGTGTTCAAAAAGCATAATGAGAATCAATTAAAAGCTGTACAACTAAGGAACAAGAACAGACACTTGATCAAGTACATTGTCGAAAAGCTCAGAGATAGTAGGAGTGATGAGCAAGTCTAGCAAGGGGGAGTTGGAACCAAGTATGCAACGGATTTCCAATTCATGCCAGTGGTGAAACAAAATATAAACCATGCAAGTGCAAGCATTGAAGTTCTAATCACTTTGAAAGTGAGAAGAAGGAAACAAGTTCACAGTTCTTCAGTATCCAGAGTTCTATTATTGTTCTATTATTCCTTTTAAGTAGTTGGAGTAAATCTATTCAGTTCCATCTTATTTAACTGGTTTTCTATTTGGGAATGTCTATTTCTATTTAGGATTTTTTTTTTTTTAAGGTTTTTTTGGTGCCCTTATAACGGTACCAATTGAATGTTTTGATGGAGCCTGTTTAGATGATTTACACTTGATTATTGACAGTTGAGTGTTCTCCCTTTCTTGTTCTTCTCTTTCAAAAGTTTGTGAGGCTCTTAAGATAATTTCAGCATACCAAACTTCAAGCTGTGGATGTAACAACGACCAAGGTAATCAAATTAGGACAGATAAAGCAGGGTGGGAGACTAGAAAATGCAGGTTGCTGCTCCATTACACCATAATCTTGTATAGCATAACTCGAAGTGATGGTGGCGGATCGTTTTACTCATTCCAGCTAATTTAAGCTTGAGGCTTGGTTGTATGCTCACTTCAAGCATCACTACATTCAATTATGGAATTAAATGGCAGCCTTGATAAATGTTCTAGCAACATATAAGTTAGAGACATACCAAGCTCACTTCAAGCATCATTACATTCAATAATGGAATCAACGATAGCATTATGAATATTCTTGCAACATAAAAGTAAGGGACATACCGTCGCTTCAAGATATCCCAAGGCTTGCTGCTGTGTATATATACCTTGATTTGCACATTCCTAAAAACAAAAATAACTGTAGAAATAAGCATAAAACCAAAACGTAGGAAAAAAAAATTGAAATTGGAGAAAAGGAAAAAGAAAAGGCTTGGCAAGAAGAGCTGCAGCTGTCCAACTAGTATACGCAAGGAAAGAAGTGAAAAATTATGATACATACTTATCAACAAATCATGAATCGTGTTAAGATAACAGTAAAATCGACCACTACCAAAAACAGCAAAAGCATATATTTGACATTCTTTCTCATCCTATAAATTTGAGTCATTATAGATTCTAGAAGTTAAAAAAGGGGTATCTTGAGCAATTTCAATAATCGGGCTCATTGATATTCCCGGTATAGGAGATACTATCACACATACAAGGAAGAGAATATGTTACTGTAATAATCATGTGGGACAAAATTCATCCTCACTAGCTTAATGGAAACAACATTTGACTTTTTATCTGCAGTCACCACATCAGTCTCCCCTCAGGTAGGTTTGTGGGATACCATTTTGAAGCACAAACTCTTGCCAATTTTCTCTTCTAGCAGCAAAATCAATTAATGGGCAAATGGAATGAGAGAAAAGGAGGGGGAAGTGGAGAAGAAAAAAAATGTTAACAGAAGCAAAGTTGATAAAGATAAGAACCCATAGGGAAAGTGTTTTCTACACCTTTCAAGCCGACCAGTTAACTAAGAGATCTAGAACAGGCAAGGATAAAAAATTATGCCTCATAATGTGTTCGCAAGGGCTCTGCACTTCCTTATCAAAGATAATCAAGCCAAACAGCAAGGCCAACAAGAAAAATGAGATTCTAATACATATAGCAATGCTGATGTCCCAGGTAACATGTTAGACTTTTGTACATTAGCATCTGACATCAGCAAGACTCAACAATGGTATCCTGGTCATTGACATGATGAGGAAAAGAAGAAGCGCTTCCAATCTTACAGCTATTATACTCAAAGCATATTTAACTTAAAGCTTACAGTGTAAAAGCAGAAACCAAGTTAACTGCCATAAAAATTATATCACATGAAAACCTGCTGCACACTAGTACAAAATCATAAAAACCTCTCACAAATCAGGGGAAAAAATCAAAAATCAAATCAAATCAAATGCCTATGAGAAACTAATCTAAAATCTCAAACCATCTCAAAAATCTAAAATGATGCCTCTATGTTAATCTCAATTAAAATTCTAATAAGCATTTTGCAATTCCTGAATATACAGGCTGTTTACTCAACAAATGAATTTCGAACATATTCACAAGACATGTTCAAATTTGGATTTCAAAACAGCAATCCAGATAACAGGGATGTGATGAATATTCAATGGCAATGACAAATTCATTATAAATGATGAATGTTCGATGGCAAAGAGAAATTTAGTATAAATTCATCCAAAATCAAACCATCTTGGAACTTAGTTGACATTTTCTCCTAACATTCACGAGATGCAGATTACCTCGATAGAGGGCAAAAGTAAGGCACTATATTGAGGGTCTCTTCCCACCATCTGTACAACCTCTTGGTCGCTCTCCATACCCATAGCCTTCATTACCACCATTATAGGAATCTGAAAAACATTTTGAAAAACATTACAGGCCAAACATAAAAACAACTATTTGAAAATGAAAAATAAAAGGCTGGATCAGAACAGAAATCATGCTGATAAAGACCTTTTTTGTGAATTGGTTGAGACATAAATACATCTTCTCCTTTTCCATCTGAATAATTGTTTTGCTTTTTGTTGCCTCGGTGCTACTTGTAACAGATGCATTTATGCTGAAAACAGGGAAGAGAAAAAAGGCAATAAGGAACCAATACCATGAAACGTAAACCAACCCAAAGAAGAGAAAACATCAAAAGCAACAATTATCAACTAAGAAAGGATTCATCATCAATCAGTTGACAATATCACCAAAGACACCCTCACAGGATAAGCACACCCCAGTTACAAAAAAATTGGGGATGCTAGCAGGAAATAAAATTAATAAAGCTTTAGCAGCAGCAATGAATCTGATTGGAAAGCCCCATATCAGAAAATTAGCTCATTATCCAGCATGATATTTTTGGAAAATCATGGTATTCATAAAAATTATGGAACGCATGCTAGAAGGAATTATAAGGTGTCCTAGAAGACCAATCCTCAACATAGCAAAAGAGCCCTACTCCGCATTGAAAATATCATATCAAGATTGTAGTTTTCTTTCCTCTGAATATAACTTTATTTCTAATGTACTGCTGATTAATTCTGGAATTCAGGATAGACTTTTTGAATTGCTTCGAATATAATAGCCACTTGTTAATGTATTGTGAAAAATGTTCACAATTTACCATGAGAGATATCATTTGGTACAAAACTTGAGAAGGGGTGCTATGTGAAAAAACTAGAATCGAATGGCAGTAATAAAGATTCTTCTGGTTTCAGAAAATTCAGGGCAGGATAGACAAACTATATAGCCTTTCTCAATGGCTTTGGATCACTTTCTATCTGTGGATGGTGGACATTGTTTGTATATCAGAGAATATGAGATTCTACATCAGCAATATATCCATATGGATTTTGTAGCTATTTTTAAGAGAATTAGAGGGGATATTCTTTAATTGTGGTCTTTCTTTGTGTGGCATCTTTTTAGTCTTCATCATGCTACAATTTATCCAGAAAAATTTGCAGATTATCTTGTATTTTAAAAGGGAACAACATTTCCCGAGTTCTTCATTGAGAAACTTAATGTGAGAAAACAGAACTTTAGTTATCTCATATTTTAACTCTTTTTCTCCACTTCTCTTGAGGCTTTGAAAAAAAAAACCTCTAAAATGCAAGTGACCAAAAACAACAGAAAACATATGCATTTTACCAATACTTTACAGCTTTACAAATGCTTTTGCAAGTCTTTTGAATGCATCATGATCACTCAATTGATTTTTCTAATCTATGTAATTTTAGCACATTTGGAAGGAAGGCTATCAATCACCATCTAACCTGAAGATTTTTCTTGATTAATAATCCCAAATAAGATAAATACAAATGATATGTCATGCATGAGAAGATCAGCATTGTCTCTTGATGCGTGCAGGATGTGTCTAAAATATGAGACAGCCCAAAGACATTTTCTTTTGGGTCCTTACCACGTTTTTCTACTTGAAATGTAGGATTATCTTTTTGGCATTTTTGTGATCGATGGATTAGCCCGCAGCATTTGTAAGGTTCCTCCAACTATTAAATGGGTTTGAGAGGAAGATAGATAGCAAGATTGTTTATAGATGGCCTGTGCTTGTGGTGTGATGCGGACGACAAAAGACTAAGATTTATGTGTTTTATTTAAATTTTAGAATGCAAGGGTATTTTAGTATTTTTTTTAGGTTTGCTGGAAATCTGTCTAGGTCTAGGCTTTATTTCTGTTTAGTATTTTATTAGTCCTGAATTATTAGGTTTTCCTATTCTTAATAGGAATAGTTATAGGTTTTCTTATTCTAAATAGGAATAGTTATGTTTGAGGTTTAGGAATCCTTGTCCTAATTGTATTTGGACTTCTACAACTCTATAAATACAGCATGTAGTCTTTCAATATTCAGAATGCAATAATATCAAATAGTTTTCAGCAATTTGCTTTTGATTGTGTGACTCAATTTCCCTTAGGTGTGATTCCTAAGAACCCTAGGTGTGAAGCTTAGGTTTTCTATCCTCTAGGTGTGATTCCTAGAAATCCTATTAGTGTGACTCTAATAGTTCTATAATTCCCAGTACAAATCCACATCAGTACAGACCTAAACAGCCCTAAACCTCCTTCAAAGGTCAGATCCAGAACAGCCCCTAAGCTGTCCTGCATCATGGTGATTTCGTGTGCTTTTATGGAGTACAATATTATAACCTCTTTTATCAGTTAAAATTCTACTAAGAAATTTTCAGGAGGAAAACCAGTCCTTTTGAATTCTCTACAATGCTCTGCCCATGGTACTTTTAAAGGAGTTTCTGATAGGGCATGTTGGCAGCGTTAGAAGATGTTCTAAGAATAATTCCAATGCTCAAGCATTGATTTGGCACATGGCTAATGATGGAAAACTTAGTTGGGAACTTGAGTAATTGATAAGGGTATTTTAGTGATTTCAGATCTGGTGGAAAATCTGGAAATTATACTATTTTTGTTTTAAGTATTTTATTTTCTTAGTCCTAAAGTTATTAGGTTTTCCTATTCTAAAATCAGAATAGTTATAGGTTTTTCTATTCTAAATAGGAATGGTTATGTTGGAGGTTTAGGAATCCTTGTCCTAGTAGGATTTGGACTTCTACAACTCTATAAATACAGCATGTAGTCTTCCAATATTTTCCATGCAATAATATCAAATAATTTCCAGCAATTTGCTTTGATTGTGTGAGTCAATCGCCCTCTTCGGTGTGACTCTTAAGAACCCTAGGTTTGACTCCTAGAAATCTGCCTACATGGTTCCTCATATTCCGGCAGGAACCTACTTCAATGCAAACCTAAACACCTCTAAACAGCCTCAAAAATTCAGATCCAGAACAGCCCCGAAGCTGTCCTGCATCTGTTTCACTATCTGACAACCAATGATTTTGGTGATTTCGGTTATTATAGGGATAAAAAATCATCCCATGAGTATCCTTTGTTGCCAACTTCTGTCTTATTACTTTCTTAATAAATGCTTTTTAAGGAAAAATCATTTCGCCTGATCTATGCTCAAAAACAAAAGGTTAAAGAAAACAAGATTCGTATGGTACACGTAAAAGAAGATGAGCTTTTACAAATTAATTATAACTGTGTAAGTTAAGGAATTTCTCACCATTTACGTGAATATTCCATTTATCATATTTTTCACTAGCAAGACAATATTAGGGTTAAGAACATATATTTTCATTGTAGAATTTTTCTATCCTATTTTTCTTGGTGCCTATATAGAGAATCTAGCTATATATGTTAGTGCCATATTAGATGAATGAGAACCATCCCATTCTAAAACAATGACCATGTTGAGTGTAAAGAAATTGAAATTCATCTATTCCATTTAGGCATCACCTAAAGTAATCTCCAGTTGGCTCTATCTATGTTAGGGAGAAAGGAGAAAGGAGAAAGGGAGAAGAGAAAGAAAGGGAGGTTCAAATATAATCAGTTAAGAGGAAGAGCAAACGTCACCCCATTCTCCAAAAAAGACAAAGTTGAATCTAACAAATTGGCAATCATATATGCAGTTCAGTATCACTTCTAATGTAATCTAGTTGGTTGCTTAAGTGTTAGAGAAGAAAAGCACAAGGCTGTGTGAGAAAGAAAGAGAGATACAAAAAGAACAAAGTATAAGAACTCACTTTCCTTTCTTGTCATTATCAATAATGATTCTATTCTTCGAAAGTTGCTCTTGTATTAAGATCACCTGAGAGAGATTAATCATATCAAAGCTATCAAAAAGAAAAAAGAAAAGACAAAGGAAGGAAGTTGATGTGAGCTCTTGAAAACAATAGTATAAATGAGACAACCTTACATGAGATATGTTGAATTTGTGAATTTCAATAGTTGATATGAAGTGAACAGCTAAAGAAAAATGAAATTCCAAATTCATTTGAACAGCTTATATTGCAATTCGTGGGTAATATTAATTTTTTGCCTATGATAAATACGTGTTGGTTATCAAACCTCCACAAAGAAACATTTAGAACATTTGCTATAATGGTTACAGTATACTTGATTAACCAAAAACCACTAATGCAATTGGTTCAAGAGTCATTCAATGAACTCAACTAAAACTCACACCCAAAATATTATGCCTCCTCCATTCATTCCTATTATGAGCTAAACTTTCTGAAACCGTAAACTTTCTTTATGATTTCAACCCACATCTTTTTTTATCTGCTTGTCCCCTTCTCTCCCCTAAACTTTAAACTTTTGGAACATGCAGTGAGCACTTCACTGGGGGCAAAAAAATAGCTAAACATGCAAAAACATGATTATTTTTCCTTTCCTCTTTGACAGAATGTAACAATTAAATTAAAATCACCTTGCTTTTCAAAACTATGGATTGTAGAGGTTTTGGAAGACCAAGTGTCCTTTGTTCTTATTTATTTTTGTTTGGGAAGAACTTACTGATTTATTTTGGTAATTATACTTCCATAATAAAAATTAAGAACTTGTTTCCTTGTAAAATTCAATTTTCAAAAGAAAAAAAAATCTAGAAGAAAAGAAAACATGTTTGGTTAAAATGAAAATTGTTTTCTGGGTAAATTATAATTTAGTCCCCGTACATTCAGCAATTTTCCACTTCGACCTTCATATTTTATAATTTTCCAATGCAAACCATATAGGTTTTAAAAATTCCAAACTCGCAATTAGCTATTAAATACCTAGCAATGCCCACTTTTTCCATCTTTTTCTTTCACTTTTCATGTTTTTCTCTCATCTTTTCCTACCAAATCTATATATATGTGATGATGTTTGCCAAAAATGCTTAAAATTTAAAAAGATTCAAAAAAGAATTCAAAAGGTTGTCAATCATTAGTTCACATGAGAGTTGATATTGGGTAGGGTCTGTAGGAGCCAAAGCAAAACATGAATATTGAAATTATAGCTTACCCTTTCTTTTCTAGAAGCCAGACTTTCTGGCTTTATTTTATTTTATTTTTTTTCAGAAAGTTAATGCAACTACAAAAAAGTAGCTTCGCAAATTTCTCTCCCTGGAAAACCGATGGCCTTGTTTGCTTCACTTACATTTTTTCTATGTTCTTTATTTAAAAGATGATCCGAATGAGACATTGTTTCCTATGGAAAAATGACTATAATAGAAATGAAAAAAAAATCTCGAAGTAAATGCAACAGTATAAATTAGGAGTTACCCATCAGTTGATAAAGATATGTAAATGCCATTTCTAATTTATTTTCCCTTTAGAAAAAATTATTGAGCTAAAAATTGGGTTATTGGTGCCTTAAAGATATAGCTACTTTAAGATCTGACGTCATAACATCTATAAAAATTTAGTCTTTATGGCACTATGACTAATGTTATTCCCCTAACTTTATGCAATATGTTAATATAGAACCTAGCATTGTTAAGGCACATAGTTCAAATCAATGCAATAAATGTCACACAAGCATACACTTTATTTTGACAAATTAAATAGATTTTTTCTTCCTGACGTCAAAAGGCACTAGAAAACAACAAACAGAATATCACCTTCTCGGTTCCTTTTACAACAAAATATCCTCCAGGATCAAGGGGGCACTCACCTAAGGTCAAAAGAAAAATGAATGACATATTAAGGAATGAAACGAAGAAGCAAGAGGCAATAAGTGGCCACAAACGGTCATGTTCGAGTTCATGCATACATACCAAGTCTCGCAAGTTCAGCTTCATTTTTCCCATACAATATGCAGCAGCGACTTCGTAACATTATGGGCATTCTTCCAATGACAACGTCGTTCTGCAAGAACTACTTTGTTTAAAATCCAACATTACATGTCCTCGCTCATTATATATCACAGTACTCTCTGATTACCTTTATCACCCTCTCCTTCCGATCATGGCTTCCCGAAATGTACTCTATATTAACCAATATTGGTGCAGCATACCTGAAACTCACAAATTCAAAAAATTCATAACTTGCACAGCTTAGCATACAAATAATTCAAGTGCATAATAGTAGCAGCTTGCAAGTATACAGTTTTGTCAGGGATAACCTAACAGTTTAATGCACTAACAGTCGAGAAATTTTAATCATGGAAAACAGAACAAACAAATTTGATTTTTGTTCTTTTCCTTGCAACACCAACACGCTGAAAACAGAGTTCCCTGCTTTTCATAAAGAAGTATATCCCATTCATCACACTGAAGCATCAACATCATTGTACCATTCAACAATACAAAAAAAAATACAAAATAACATTTATGAACGTCGGATGAGAAGAGTGACGAATTTATATTCAAGTATCACTAGAGTGGAATCATGTGGATTCATGGAAGTTTATTCAATTCTCGGGTGGAGAAGGGCATCTTTCAAGTGCAGATTGGGGATCGTGAAGGAGGATAATAACTCGCAAGCATATTCTGTAGAATTGGCAGATAGGCAATTGGGCTAAATTAAGAGAAAGTGAGGATTTGGATTAATAAATATTTGCAGTCTCCTAGAAATAATGCGAGTCCCTGATTTGATTTTGCATCAGAAAGAGAATGAATCAGCGCATAGTTTACAGAGACTGATTGCTATCAAGGTATTTGATGAATTGATAAGGGATTGTTATCCATTGTTCAATCAACAGTTTACATGAAACTACATTATGTTTCATTTTGAACACATAAATTCTCATTTTCTGTTAAGTAGTTTTCTTAGCACGGCGCTTATGGACATAGCAAAATTTTACGAATCTTATAGAATCAATCCATAACCAAAATAGCCATCACAAGATTAAATTGTTTTCTTAGCCACCTTATCTTGTGCAACTTTGTGACCTTTCTTTCTGGGAGTTTCTTTATCAGCATATAAACACATAGGAAGACCCTTCTGTTCTAGTCTTCATACTTTATGTTCTTTCATACAGATTGTCTAAATTCATTCACTTTTCTTCATTGGTAAAGTTTTTCTTTTACCTAAACAAATAAAACATAAAACACAACCCAAGAGCAACAAAAGATCAAATAAGATACAAAAGAAAAGATGAATGGCTACATACGTTGTGTCAGATAACCGACACATATGAGGAGTAATTTGTTCACTGATAGCATCAATCACTACAGAAGGCTTTCCAATCTTAACATCTGTAAACCTACAAAAAGTGAGACAAAAAATTATTAAAAAAAATAATAATAATAATAGTTCCACAACTAAATACCCAAACTCACAATATATATTTAAAAAGACGAAACACCAAAAGAGATGATTTTTTTTTTCCTTTTCTATTTCCAAATGCCACTACATTTCTCAATCAAACAGAACTATCTTGCGCAAGCACGCACACACCAAGGATGAAACCAAAACAAAAATGGGATAACTAAATTTGTACCTTAGATAAAGACTAGGATCAACTTCAGACACAATCCGATCATTGGCACGCACAATCTTCTTAATTCCGATGTTTATAAAATAATTAAACGAATCCAAGTGCTGCTTCACTAATCCTCTTACCTATCAAAAACCACTAAAAAATTAAAAACAAAACAAAACCACTAACAATAACCCACTTCATTTCTGCTTCTATAAGTTCATATGAAAAAAATAAGTGCATATTTGTATAATAGAAAGTTAGGGTTACCTTTAAAAATTCAGGAAGAAGCTGGAATTTATCGACAGCAGATTTTACAGGTGGAGCAAGCTTTTCTTTGTTAATTAAATGGTCAACAATGTTTCCCCTTCTATGCAAAATTAAAAACAATTAAAATTGAAAAATAAAAATCATTCCCAAGAATCAAATTGAAAAAAAAAAAAAAAACCATAAAAAAACAGAGAGAACAACTTACTCGGTTTGAGAATCTCCATGCATGACACCCATTGATGATTTTCACTGTTCTTTCGGCTCTGAATAGAATAATTTAATTCTTTTGTGAAAGAGGTTTTGGTTTGAGCAGAACGGCTACGATCACTGAAAGAGACTCTTCCGGTGGTGAACAAGGGTTTATGTTTTTATTCGGAAAAACTTGGGGGCATCTCTAAAACCCTGATTGTGCTCCAGCGGGTCGGGTGAGATCCATATGGGTTTGGTTTCTTGTTGACAGGGTTAGGGTCGGGTCTTATTTATCGTAAATCATGCGGCCCTGTGAAGTTTTTATCTTAAATTAGGCCCATGGGCCATGGTTGTGTTTTCATAAAATTTTATACAGATAAACTTGACTAAAGTATTATTTTAATTCTTGTCTTTTTAGTAAACTAATTAGTTGGTCCCTTTAGTTCTGGTAGCTGTCCATTGTAAGTTTTTTTTTTCTTTTTTATGAATACCCTAATTTCATAAACAAGTGTTTTGATTTCATCTACCATCGAATGTTTAAAAATAAAATATCTCAAAATTTCTACTTGATTTACTCACGAGCGATGGTGTGAAGACTTACAACTTTAGTAAAATTTTTGATGATTTAACTCATAGTTCAAAAAAATATATCAAAATTACTTATTTTACATAAAGTTTCTATACAAATTTACTACAAAAAATGTTGTATATAAACTGATATAAACAACCTAATTACAAATTCTCTATACAATTTTGCTAGATAGTATCTTTAGAATCAAATTATAACTTGTTAAATTAGATTTACACCTACCATACAATAGAATTTTAAATGTTTATTGATGAAAATTAATTCCAAATTATCAAAAATTTTCTATACGAAATCCACAGGAAGAGGCATGGTGTTACATCATGTTTTCTAAAATAAAGAATTGTAAATAAAAATTGAATAACCAATAAATATAAAAATATCATTATTTTTTTATAAACAATTCAAAAAATTTATGGTAGATAAATGAAACTCTATCTATTTCACCAATATTTCTCATCTCTTCTCTCACTTAAATTAAAAAAATAAAAATATTTTTCCTTTTATTTTGAATTTTGGAGAAAACATGCACATATGGATACGTCAAAATCTATGTATGAATCCTTCCATCGACTTCATCCCAATCAAGAAAGGTAAATATTCCACATACTAAAGCGCAATGTCGTCGAAACTTGAAGGACTTAAAAGACCACAACCTTAGAGGCAAAAAAAAAAAAAAAGAAACGGGGGAAGCTGGAGATTGGGACCCACTTTTTCTCCTCTGTCCAGAGCAATACAAACCCTGTCATCTATCCCTCCCTCCTCGCTTTCCAAAAATGGATAAGCGCTGTCAGCTGTGCTGGCTTCTATCATCAATTTATCACTACTTTCATTTTCGCTAAATTTCACACGTCCGCTCCCTCTGGACTAAATGACCAAAAGATTCTCTATCGGTGACTTTTTCAAACTCCTCGAGACTCGCAATAATCCAACGGCTCAAATTCAATCCTCCCTTAAAAGGTTTGTTATTTTATAAACTAGGCTCTCTCCCTCCTCTTCTCCCCTCTCCTGGCGCTGAGGCTCTGATTCTCCCGCAATTTTGTTCCATCGTACGCTACTGATTTATTTATAATTGAAAAATTAAAGCACGAAACGCTTTTCCTTCCTTTATCTCCGTTCATCTCTCCGGAGGTAGCTCGTGCACAAGCCACTCTCCTTTCTTTCTCTCCGGTTCTCTCTTCCACGATTGTCTACAGTTCGTAAGCAATAAGAAAGCAAAAGACAAGGAAATAACCGATTAAAAGGTGAATTATGTTTTAATTGATTTCCTTTTTTCTTGCTTTCTGTTGAATAATCGTTAGATGTGTTTGTTTCTTTTTTTATTAGATTTATTTATTTATTTATTAGCTGTTTTGTTTGATTTGATTCGATTTGATCGTGCATGTGTTATTTTTCTGATTATAATATGTTGTAGCAATGATTAAGTTGCTGAAAAGAGGATTTCATTTATTTATTCACTTATGATTTTGAAGACAAGTTGATTGAAAATTGAAACATTTATTTCTAGTTGTTAAAGAAGAGATTGAAGAGAGCAATCTGTTGAAGCCTGGTTAAAATTGTCTATAGGCTTCAATTCTTCTTTCTCTTTTCGGGTTCGACTGTAAACGGTGTCTCGGAACTTGTGAATCAACCGAGACTAAGTACTTCACAGGCGATATTTTCTGTATTTTGTTGTTGAAATTTAAATTAGATCAATATTCAATTCAAAATTCTTGAATTTTAGATAGGATCATCTAATTTTGCTTGTTATTATTACCATCCTTTTAAAAAGGAAGTTAATTGCCCTCGCTGATTTGTGTTGTTTGTTTCTCTATGTTTTCAGATCAAGAAATTTGGTTGCTGGAGTGGTTTTTATTTTAATCGGGTCTGTTGTGTGGAATTTTTGGTGATGGGTGCTGTAGAAAATCCTGTAAACAATAAAGAATATCGGATACCGGGAGAGGCAAAGGAGATTTTGAAATCATTGGCATCCAAGTGGGAAGATGTGGCTGATGCGAATTCTTTGCAGGTGATCCCTTTAAAGGGTGCAATGACCAATGAGGTTTTCCAAATAAAGTGGCCGACAAAGACAGAGAATGTGTCGCGGAAGGTTGTAGTCAGGATCTATGGTGAAGGTGTGGAGGTGTTCTTTGATCGAGACAATGAGATTCTTACATTTGAGTTCATGTCGAAGCAAGGACAGGGACCTCGTCTACTTGGGCGGTTCTCAAATGGACGGATTGAAGAGTTCATCCATTCACGGGTACTTTGATGCTCACCTCTTTCTGTATCTTTGTTATTATGAATCTTGAAATGCACCCTATTTCAAAGAATTGTCTTTCATTTAAGAGATTGGCAGTTGAGGTAATCAAATGATTGCTCTTAAAGGAATCTAATACAACTCGTATGTCTAATATACCAAATGTTTGGTAAATGGTGTGTCGGTTTTGACTGCTCATATACAGACAATTTATATTAATTATTGAATCGTGTATCTTCTACTAGGAAAAACAGAATGAAAAGGTGCTGGTTAATGAATAATAGTTTGCTTTTCCTTTCTGATTTCTATAGATCAGAAATTAATGCATTCAATAACAACTTTTCCGTTACTGAACCAAACATTTCCTGCGTTTCTATGTATGAATTTCAGACACTATCAGCCTCTGATATGCGTGATCCAGATACATCCGCTCTCATAGCAACTAAAATGAAGGAGTTTCATGGTCTTGAGATGCCAGGTCCAAAGAATGTCACCCTGTGGGATAGATTGCGGTGTGTTTTCTTTTATTTTCTCATTCTTTTTCTTTAAAAGGAAAATGAAGGTTGCATGTGTTACCCTCTGTATGTATTCTTTGCTTTTAGTATGAATGAAATTAGTTATTTTCTTTGCTGCTTCTTCAGAAATTGGCTCAAAACAGCTAAGAGTTTGTGTACTCCGGAAGAAGTTAAAGCCTTCCGCTTGGATTCCATTGAGGAGGAAATTTCCTTATTGGAAAAGGAACTCTCAGGAGATCAATTTATAGGGTTTTGTCATAATGATTTACAATATGGCAACATAATGATTGATGAGGAGACAAGATCAATCACTATAATTGTAAGCTCTCTTTTTATTTAATAGTTAAAGCATTTTATGAATATGCTACCTGATGGCATTCTATGCTGTATTCTGTACAAAAATCCAATAAGATGTTTGGGGGTATTCTTATTTTCTCTTTTTGCTCTAGATTTCTGGTTTTGATGTGTATTCTTTCTATCTTTTGACCTTTTATCTGTTCTTTATTTTCTCTGTGTGCTTTCTATGTGCTAAAGTGTGGCTTGCACTTTTAATGCCTTGCAAACTTAATCTTGTTAATGCATAGTCAAATGAATTTAAAGATATCTCAAACGACCTATATGCCTAGGTTATTATTGTCCCTCCAACTTCTTGACAGATCAAACGTTTGTGAATTGTGAAGTCATCTTATGTTTAAGACTATTTACGGATAGGAGTTGACTTGGGCTTAACTTGCTCTTTTTTGCACAACAATCAATGGTTGAATGTAATTATTAGCAGATTGAATGTTATATATATATATATATATAAAGCAGATTGGCATAATATAAAAATTTTCCTTCTCTTCACTGTGCAGAAGATGATTTGAATTGGTCTTTCATGATTTTCTTTTACATAGTGCGGAATTATTCATTTGTCATTGATTTATTCCTGTTCTGTTTCCCAGGACTATGAGTATGCAAGTTACAACCCTATTGCCTTTGATATAGCAAACCACTTCTGTGAGATGGCTGCTGATTATCATACAGATACCCCCCATATTTTGGACTATAGTAAATACCCTGGTGCGTGAACACTACATTAATTTCCTTAATGTTTATTTGCTTTCATTTTCATTTATTGTCAAGGCACCATCTTGATCTCTGAGCCTGATAATAGATTTGGAAGAGCGTCGAAGATTTATTCGCATATATCTGAGTTCCTCAGGTATTAATCTTTTACCTTGATTACCTTTTTCTATTATGTTCTTCCAGTGTTAGCTTTTTTAACTTAAGGGATGTCGTCTGAGATACAAGCAGCTTAGTTGTAGAAGAACATTCTTTTTTTGTTAAATTTTATGATAACGCGCTGAGATCTAAGGTGTGTGCTATTTCTCTAGAAACTATGGTTGTCCAAAAGGAAAAAAGTCGTCATTCGTAAATAAGAATAAGCTGATTGTTTTGGTGTCTATTGCTTCATCACCAGAATCTGCTATTGCTTGGTAATCTTCATCAATGAGAACCCAAATTGCATTTGCATGTCATATATACATCTCCGAACAGTATTTTATTAATGATTTATTGAATTCTTAATTTCTCACTCTTGGTGGAGGACAAAAGTGGATTTGTTGTATAAGATCAAGCAGTCATGACTGGGCATTGCATGTAAACTGAAACTCATCTGAAAACCTCAATACTTGTTTTTATTATCAGTGATTTGTCAAACCATTGATTTTTTACGCAGGTGGTCTACCTACCGACATTGAAGAAGAGCAGCTACTTGAAAATGTTGAGAAGTATAAGCTTGCAAACCATCTTTTTTGGGGTTTATGGGGGATAATATCGGTATGCCTTCCAATCTTCAGTTTGTTAATCAGAACCTAGACATATTTACAACAACTTCATCTATGTCTGATGGCCCACATTGCTTTTGGCCTCATACAGTGCTTGTCATTCAGAAGTTCTAGGAATTGTATCCATGGATTCTGTATATTCGAAACTGATGTTGTTCTCTGAAATTGTTTTTTATTTTCAGGAACATGTCAACGAAATTGACTTTGACTACATGGAATATGCAAGGCAGAGGTTTGAACAATACTGGTTAACGAAGCCTGCTTTATTGGGTTCTTCAGGAACCACCCCTGATGCGGTTATGACTGATGGTAATTTTACTATCTGATTGTCACTCTCTCCTTCCAGTATTACATGCATATAGTTGTCTACAGGAACTGACAACTATAGATTGTTTCATGGTCTTTTGGTGTATCTTTCTAAAATATTTTCATCTTTGTTCAGTACTTCTACAAAACAATATTTGTTTGATCTGTTAGCTGTCCTTCTCTGCACAAAGATGGGCTATCAGCAGTATAAAATAAGCAAATCAGTTGGAAATACATAACTATGTTACTCTTTACTTTCCTTAGGATTTCAATGATTTTGAAATCCATGGCATTTAGATTTCTCTTTTTCTAATTAATTCATTATTTGCCAAATGATCAGTGACTTGCTTAGACCACCTTGCATTTACTTCACTAATTCCTGTGCTGTAAATAATTAAATATCAGTCAATGGATGCCTGTGTGTATGCCACGTGAGTGTAATCAAACATGGGATTATGGGATGTTGGATGAGGAGAGAATGGTCGTATTTATTCCTTAACTTTAAATGGAGGAGTAAAATTATACACTTAACTCCATCCCAATTCTATAGATGAATATGGTCCTTTCACTAGGCTGGAACCAATTTTGTTGACTGTTTTGCATCTTGATAATGAATGAAAATGTCAGTGCTGAGAAAAGTAAAGGTTCAAGTGAATTCTTACAGCATAAACTAGTCAAAATTCCAGAAGTAAATTTTGGTTTAGCATGTGAAACTGTGAAAGTAACATACAATTGACAGGTCAAGTGTCTGTGACATATTTTGATACATCCAGTTGTAAGTTTAGGAAAATCAAAAAGGGTGGAGTTTTGGAGGTGATCAGCTTTCTTGCTTAAAATTTTCTTTCAGTGGTAAGCTAGTGCTTGCTCGAGGGAAACTAGATTTTACTTAATTAGCTCCGACTATAGGAGCTATTTTTTGGTTAGCCGATATTATCCTCTTGTCCGTGGGCTTAGTTTCTGGATGGAGTTGTCTTTTTATGAAGACCTAGGACTTGTCTGGTATGGTCTCCTAGGGTTGAATCTCAAAGATAAATTAAATCCTGTTTGCTTCCAACATGAGGTCATTTGGGGAAGTGGGCCTCTCTCCTTTATGTAAGATGGCTGTTAAAAAGAAAAGGATTTCTTTTGTTCATGTAAGAGCGTGTGGATTCTGGATAAACTTCAAGTTTTTGGTGAGGGTCGGGCTGAAGATTGGTTTTCTTCTCCTCCCCTATTATTTGACTTTAGATGGAAGAACCCAAGCTTCATTATTGTGAATGTAGGAGGATTTATGCAATGTTAAACATATTGTTTCACCATTCCTCTAACTGTATAAGGTCTCAAAATAAGATTTTTCATGGCATGTTGTTCCTGAGATCTGTGCTAGAACACATGGCTTGTTGTTCCATGTCTCATGTCTAACTTTAATTAGGGGAAGGTTGTTGTGTTCATTTTGTTAAATATGTTATTGAATTCAAGTTTATGTTGAAGTGAACATTTGTGGATGTACCGAAACTCTTGATCCCATTCAGGTAGTTTGATTGAATTTCAGATGCAGGTTGAATTTTTAGGGCATAAAAGCTGAGATTTGTTGTTCAAATTTTCATTTGATTGCCAATTCTCCATAATCATTATACGAGTATTCTATGAGACAATGGTGTCTGATTATATGACCACACAGCTGATTGAACTTGGACAATTAATGTTCGAGCTGGAATTTAACATGCTGTCCAGTCGGTTGCTGGCCTGGAAAGCTGATTTTGTCTTGAAACCTCCGGTAATCAAGACTGCCCCAACAGTCGCACAGCTCTCTCCTTCATGTTCAAGGCAGTAAGGAAGTGTGATTTGGTTCTTGGATTTCCAATAGAAGGTTTGAGAGCTTCAGGTTCTTTCTTTCCTGGATGGTGGCTGGATTTGCTAAATTGAGATCCATGCCCTAGCCTTTAATTTCTTTTGGTTCGAACAAAAACACCCCGATTTCCTAAAATTGTTAATAGAGTTGCATTGGTACAAAAATAGGTAAAATGGGTAGTGGACTATTGTGGCTTCAGGAAAAGAAGGGGCAGTTAGTGTACGAAAACTTCCTGGAATGGCCAATGTCCTATTTCTGAAACAGTTGTGGTGACCTCTGGTAGGACAGGGCCTTAATATGGGAGCTGCGATGTCCCCAGAAGACTTCTACTCTCTGCCGAGGCAACCTTCTGCTGGCCAATAGAAGAAGTAGTGGATGGCATGAAGATCAATTGCTCGAATATAAATAACATTAGTCCAATAAATGAACAAAGGATTTCGTGGTTTCCTTCACACGTGGGAAATTATAAAATAAGCACAACTCCAAAGAGCTGATTATTCAACTGGTGGCATTAATTTGATATTATCATAGGATGGTTAGATTTTTTGATAACCAATAGAATGTTTTTTTTTTTTTAATCTTTCTTTGCTCATTCGATGCCTCAGCCTCTAGATCATGCTATGATAATATGGGCGTGCATATTTTTTTTCCCCCTCCTTTTCATCTCAGTTCTCTATTTGCAATGACATGCGTGAGAGTTTGTTGGCAGGCACAGAAGAAGATGCAAAAAAGACACCCTCCAAGCAAACTGGTTTGTTCAAGAAGCTGAAGAAATATTTCAGTTTGGCAAGGAAGTAGTCTTGCACATTGTTGCCATTATATACACCTACTCAAGCAGGAAATAGACAGTCCGGAAGAGAGTGATTGTTGTGGAGGGATGGAATTGATGGAGCAGAAAAAATGTAATTGCATCATTGGCTAATCATTTGTCAAGGGTACGAACGAAATGCATAGATTTCTCGTAATTAAGAAGTTAGGGCTTTACTGTCTACGTTGAAATTTCATTTGAAGTGCTTTGTCAATAGCATAAAGGTAATTGATTCAAGCTGGATGTAAAGGGTGTACTATATGGTTTTCAATCTTTGTGTACTTTTATCTGATGGTAACCGTTCTATTATGCATTTATTCATGAGTAAACGATAAATAGTCTTTCTTATTTCAAAAGTTAATTAATTAATTTTTTAATTATGATTAATTTAATATTATTCTGTTTCAAAAAAAATATTTTAAAAAAAGATTAAGTTATAAATAATTTTAAAAATATAAGAATTAATTAATTAATTAATTTTTGAAATTAAAGAGATTGTTCAATTCGTTTGCGAAATTAGATGAACTGATTTATAACTTATTACATTAATCACCCTCTGTTGCGCTCGCTGCGATACAAGCATGCATGATTATCGTAGGTGGACGAAGTCACCACTGGAACCTAAAAGAAAATGGCACTTTACCTTAAAAAAAAAAAAAACAAAAAAAACAAAAAAGAATGCCTTAAAAAAGCTAAAAGCATAGATAATGGATTTTCACTTTTAATACAACCATATTAGTACTTTAAGCAAAGAAATAAACCAAAACTAAGGCTGACTTAAATTAAATTTCTATAATACATGAATTCTTTCTTGCTTTGTTTGCTTTTTATTTATTTTTAACTAGGAGAATTCTTTTTTTAGAATATCATAATTAATCCCATTAATAAAATTTTGCAAATGGAAAGTTGTTCCTCTATTCAACTAATTTATGATTTTTTTTAATAAAATTCTGTATAATCATCATCACTTGGAAAATTTATTTATTTATTTATTAAGAATATCATAATTAATCCCTTGAATAAAAAAGCAAATGGAAAGTTGTTCCTCTATTCAACTAATGCATGATTTTTTTTTAATAAAAATCGGTATAATCATCATTACTTGGAAAATTTAAAAATTAATCATTAGCACGCCACTACTAGCCTTCTTTGTTTTTTGTTTTATATTTGATGTTATATGCAAATAAATTGACTACACACCAGACAAAGAATATTGTATTTTTCCCAAGCGCGCGCGCGTGTAATATATATATATATATAGGGATTTTATCAGATAACATCTTTGTTTGAAAATTGAAGCTTAGATATCGAACATAGGCATATCATTTTTTTTAAGAATCTATAAAATAATAGAAAATTAAAATAATTAGATGTTATGTATCTGACACCTGACGTGTGTCATTCTGACTGGAATTTTCGTGAGATTTGATGTCTCTAACATCTAATGAATGTTAATTGACTAAAGATTTTTTTTTTTAACCATATCAGATACCATGATAATTGGTTTATAATTTATTTCTTTTTTTATTAAGTGAAAATACATATAATTAATCATCAAGATACTAAATAATTATAATTACTATTAACAATTATTTTAATTTTTACCAGCCATTATATAGTTGTTACTAGCTGTTGTGAAGGGTATTAAAAAAATTAATCGTAGTTTAATAATTAATTTAATATTTATTCTCTCTTGTATATATAAGTATAAACATTCTTAAATATCTGGTACGAGAATAGAAATAAAACGAAGTTGTTTTCTCTTAAAAACTGGTGCTTTGTTTTAAAAAAGTTTTTAAAGGCAATTCTCTCTTTGATTATTAAATGGAAGAATAGCTACAATAATATTAAGACAATCAATCGTTGTGGTATTAATTAATTTTAATTATTAGTTGTTCTAATTTTATATAATTATAAACGTCCTTGACCATTTGGTATAAGAACATAAATAAAATAATAATATTTTCTCTTAACAAACATTGATTTGTTTTTCAAAAATTTTCAAATACAATTCTATAAAATTGAGCATTTTCCACATGTGTCTGTGCATTACAAACCTACAAATGCACGTAATGGGTTGTTGCATATTAGAAAATAAGCCCGTTTTAATTGTTGCCCCTAAACATAATCTTTGAAAAACACCATTTATTCTAGAAGTTTATGATCGTACGCCAAGAAAGTTAACAATTTTTAAAAAATACTATGGATAGATTAGATGGTTTGGCTCGGATCGAGTGGCAGGTAATACGGACACACCATGATTCAAGCAGGAGTCTAGGAACATTAACGTATTATGGATACGTCAAGATTCAAGCAGTTGGCAGTTGACAGTTAACTCTAGCCCCCAGCTTGAATCTTGATGCATCCATATTACCTGCCACTCCTAGCAAGCACTACCTAACCTATCTATAACTCATAGATCATATATTTTGAAAGTTGTAGAGTGATTAATAGCTTTTGACGATAAAAAGAGGCAAATTTAGAGACATATAGTTTTATCACTCGTGACTCTCCTAGCTGATCCCATGCGCATTTGTTTTTATATTTGTTAGGGTTTTTGGCAGGCTCAGAAAAGTTACACAAAAGACCCCATCAGAGCCAGCTACTGGTTTGTTCAAGAAGTTGAAGACAGTTCTGTAAGAAAATAGTCTTTCCTGCTACTTCCTACGGCATCTGATTGTACCAACTAAAGGAAATGGACGGTGGTTGCAGTGGAGGGACGGAATAGGGTAGAATAAAAGCAATTCCATCATTGATTGCTTGATCATTGTGTATATGTGATAATAATTAATAATCTTGACCTCATTTCCTTCACACCCTTCAACAAATGCATCCTTGTCATTATGAGAAAACTATTCTTTTAAAATAATTGATCTTTATTTTTGGCTATGGGGCTCTTTGTAGTATCAGACTTTCTAGCAGAATGCCACCGTTAGCCAGTGTTTCAGATTTAAGCACAAGACAATCGGGCAAGTAAATTGAAATACTGTAGAACCTTTCATGCCTAAAAATTAAGTTTCAAGTATCTGGCGACGGACTCCTCAACTACCTCTAGTTGAAATTATTAAAACCAACTTCAGTGGTTAAAGATTTAACAACTAAAGCCATTGCCTCCCTCATCATCCTCCCGTTTTCTTTGCTCTTCCACAGGCATTTCCATCTGTTAGCACCCACACCACAAAGAAGATGACATAATTCTAATATTCTTTTTTTATATACATAATTTCTTTGCTTTGGCAGATCATCACGTACAGAGGCATCAGGCATCCACTCACCTTGTCAATAGTCTCTGGATTCTTCTTGCTTGGTCCTTTGTAGCTTTCTTGGGTTCTGTTTGCTACTCTAGGTTTGATTTTTGTTCTATTTTTTATTCAGCTGCTCAGGACAGAGTTTTGGTTATGCTGGCATTAATTAACCTCAGCTCTCCTACGCTACACTTAGCACTGCTATGCTCAACTTTGCTCCTGGTCCTACCTTCATACCTGCCGTTATTTTCACGTTATATCTATCCTTTAGTTAAATATCGTTCCACAGTCATCCAAAAATCTTTCTTGAAGATTTGTGAATTAAATAAGCAGTACTGTTATAGATAAGCCTAAAAAACAATTACTGGGTCGGTTCACGGTAAAAAGAGTTGACTCCAAAAGGTTACAGCACCCTAGCTAAATCTATCGGAACCATGTCATCAATTGGAGGGGCATTCGTTGTTACGTAGTACAAGGGTCCCATTCTCCTGTAGACACCACCCGAAATTTATCAACCCAGTACCGACATGTTTTGGTCGAATAGTAAACAAATCGTGGTAGATAAATTTTTTATCAACATATTAAATTTAAGTTTTAAAATTATATTTATTTAAAAAATTAAATTTTATTATTTTTGTAACAATAAATATTACTTCTATCTCTAAAGTGAAATGGAGATATCTAAAAAAAACTATATAAAAAAAATTATCAACCCAATAAAATGGAAACAAACAAGCCTGTTATGAATTTTTCTTTTCTTTTTAAAAATAATAAACCCAGTACCGACCTGTTTTGGTCGAATGGTAAACAAATCGTGATAGACAAATTTTCTATCAACATGAAAAATTGAAATTTTAAAATTATATTTATTTAAAAAATTAAAATTTATTATTTTTGTAACGAAAAAAATTAGTTCTATCTCTAATGAAAATGAAGATATCTAAAAAAAATTATAAAAAAAAATTGTCAACCCAATAAAATAGAAACAAGCAAGCCTGTTACGAATTTTTTTTTCGTTTTAATAATAATAAACTCTAATTTTATATGATCCATGTTTCTTACCTGAAGTATGTTACGATAGTCCATAATCAGTGACTTTGAAATTTGAAGAGTAGGGTCTAGGGAGTCTTGGGGCATGCATTCCAAATTGGTGTATTCAGCAAAAGACAGATCCTGTTTTTGTTGCTATATTTGCTCACTAAGGATGATCATATTTCAGCTGCAGTGAGTGGCGTCTGCTTAATTTAGGGATGCTCTGAGCCATTGAGTATACATTATTCTTAAAAATAGTCTCATTCTAACAATATTTGTAAAAAAATAAACTACTTCTGTCTCAATGAAATTCTTCTTTTTTCTATTTATATATGTCTCAAAATGATTATTTGATCAAAACTTTAAATACAATAATTTTTTTAAATACCCTTAATCAATTTTTTTTATTTTGTACTAACTAAAAATTCAATGATTTGGAAGGGTATTTTAGAAAAATAAAAATAAAAAAATTATATTTAATATCTCTCTTAAACTATTTGAAAAATCAAATGAAATTAACACTTTAAGACAAAAAGAAAGAACATGCATCCTTGGCAGCCTTTCTCAGGATAATAAGAAAATACATGCATATAAATTGTCTCAAGAAAATTACTAAATATTATTAAGTATTGATTAATTTTCTTATGTAACTATAGACTAATGAAATTACCCCAACTTAGTTAATGATTAATATCAAATCAATCTATCTATCATGACTTGGAAAGATCAATAATAATTATATTGTTTATCATAAATAGTTCTATTGCTATTATTAACTCTTTTTTTCTTTTTTTAATTAGCTAGATATATGCGTGATGGCCGATGCATGGTCATGTTGATTGACAATCGTCGTGTCGTTTTCTTTTATTCTATGAAATGGATAATTATTACGTACTGAATATATTTTTGAACTCATTTTTTAATAAATTTCCTACAGTGAATGAATGGATGTATCCCTTTTTCTAGCGTGATTCATATCTCAATTACACCTACAATAATTTTCTTTTTTTATTATTTATTTCTAGTGGATTAGTATATATCTATTAAACTAATGTCTCTAGCCTCCTGCTGGAATCGTGACGTATCCATGTTACCTGCCAATCCTTGGCCAAATCACCTAATCTATTTGTTGAGAGATTAATAGCTTTTGATGATGAAAGAGAGAAATGTAAAGACATGTAAGCTTTAAAACTCAAAACTCTCATTGCTGATATCATGCTCATTTGTATTTACATTTGTCAGGGTTTTTTGGCAAACCACTGGTTCGTTCAACAAGTTGAAGAAATTGTTCAGGTTTGCAAGAAAATAGTCTTTCTAGCTACTTCCTACAGCATCCGATTGTACCAACTCAAGAAAATGGACCGTCCAGAAGAGGGCTGTTGCAGTGGAGATCATTGTATATGGGATAATAAAATGCATGAAAAATCTTCATGGCTCTATTTAGGTTGCTTATCGTTAGAACACTACCATAATTTCGGCATTTAACTGCAGATTTTTCTATCACTATATTTTGAAAATCCATCACTATACGTTATTAGCAATAGATTAAATTCTATTGCTATTTATTTGTTATTTAACGACGGATCAACTTATATCGTTAATTTTCATTGTTATTTGATAGGTTTTTTCAGTGGAAAATAATTTATTTGGGATACTTTGTTTAGATGTTGATTAATGTAAATTCAAGACACTGTATTTACTGTTTGCATTTACTTAAAAGTAGTTAAAATACGGGATATATGTTCTTTTTTTTTAGTTTTTAAAATTTTCTTTTAAATTCAATAATAATAATAATAAAAAACAAGATTATGAAAAGAAAAAATGACACCTGTTTTAATTTTATAGCACCAAGGTCCTAAAAAAAACATGATTAAAACAAAAATCAAACACAGAAGGAAAAAATTAAAAAAAAAGGTAAAAAAATGATAAAAATAAAAGAAAAAATAGAAGGATCCCACAAGGCCACAACCATTAATGCGAATTTCATTCGTCGAAATGTTTTCGGTTAGGTTGCTGGCCAAGGAAGCTGATGTTGTCTTGCAAGTTGCAACTGCCTGCAATCAACTCTGCCCCGACAGCTGCTCAACCCCGTCCTTGATTGTTGAAAATCTAGAGTGAAAACAGGTTTTTTTTTTTCCTCATTGACTTGAAGTCATGACGACTTGCTAGAACTGAATTATTCAAACAAAAAGTGTTCTATTTATTTTTCTATGATCTAATAACGAAGGCATGATGAGAAACTTGAAGTTACAGACACAAGAGAAAAAGAGATTCATGCAAGAGAGAGAACCTACAAAGGGGAGACAGGGAAAGGTGACAAGAAAGGAAAAGGTTGATGGTTTGCCTAGGGTTGCAACTTCCTGGTGGAGATGAGAGATAAGGTTTGACAGTATTGTAGACAATGATTGGCCTAGAAGACTACCGGAGTGTTTGTAATAGACGAAGGACGGAATTTATTTCATTTGTAAACGAAATGAATGAGAATTTATATTTTCAAATGAATTTTTTTGTTTGGAATAAAAAAAAATATTAGTTAAATCATTCATTTGTAAATATATTTTATGTTTGGAACATAGTTAGAATTAGAATTATAATTTTTATTTTATTTAAATATCCTCAAGTTTGTTGAAAAGTAATTATGATATAATATAAATATAAATACAAAGATAATATTTTCATAGATAATACAAGATCTCATGTCTATATAAGCTAAATATATCCTTTATATAAATATAATATCACAATGACTGTCTATATTATATTATCCATCCAAAAATTATACCAACAGCAAAGGATGTATAACAAAAAAAAAAAAAAAATGTGCGAAAAAACAGCTCACATATTAAAAACAAACTAATATAAGGTTAGGGTATAGGATATATTTGTCTATATAAAAATATTTCTCAATTGTTATAGAATCTATTTACAAATAACTTTTCTTGAGCAAAGAATTAGATATTAGATAAAACTATATCAATTCATTGATTTGGAATTCATTCATTTATAATTTTTAAAATTAAAGCTTTCAAAAAAATATATCATTAATTTATAAATAAATTTTATAAAATTTTATAGAATTCATTTATTCCAGACAGCATCTACATAATTTACAGCATCAAGTTTCACACGTTTCAAAAACAAATTACTGGTCACCATTCATTTTCTCAAGAGCGGAAAACCTACGTCATTCGATTACAGGCCCACTTTCCTGTATTCTTTCCTCCAAGTCATTTCAAAGCCTGCTAAGGTAACCCACAACTCTTCACAAAGAACCGAGTAATTGCCAATATGCGCCAAGCAGCATCTCGAAAATGACTACTTGCCTAGCAGCACTTTGAAAAAATTTAATATTTCTTTTAAAAGCAAAATTCAACATTATATCTTTGGAATAAAAAAATTGAATTTTATTGTCAATAAGAGATGCTTTTAATCTTTTACCAGACTTTACTTTTATTGTTTATAAAAATCATTTCAGTATAAAAAGGATGGGAGTTATTGATAAAAGTAGAAAGCAAATATTATTAAGAGTACGGACATCTAACAAACTGTTATAGAAATATTAAAGGTTATTTTAAGAAATTTAACAATAATTGTACTTGAGCAATAATTACGATGTGTTTTTTTTATATATAAATTAGTGGACCATAATTAATCTCTCTTGAGTGCGTTTTAAAAATCACCCTTTAGCTTTATACTTTTTTTTATTATTATTGGGAGGATATCTAAGTCTAAATGTTCATGTTAATCTTTCGTTATTCAGTCGGATCCACGAGTATAGATTAAATTATTTTAAAAAAATTTATATATATAAATATTGAAATAAAAAATTATTTATTTTAATTATTAGATTTTTTTTTTTTTTGCTTAAGCCAACAGTCTTGGGTAGTCTTATATTTTTTTAAAGAAAAAATACATAATAAGTACATTATTTTGAATATTTTTCAATCGAGGATATTAATTTTGATTTTTTTATTTTAGTATATCAATTTTTTTTAAACATCAATCAAGTTTTTTCGTTTAATTTTTTATTTAGTGATGATATCATAATTAACAAAAAAAACTAAATCATTATATTGATTTTTTTCTTTTCTCCTCCTAAATCAAAATTATTGTTTAATTATTAATTAAAAAAGCAAAGCAGCTTAATTTAAAAAAATAGCAAAGCAACTTTGCTTTCTTTTTTTAATTAATAATTAAACAATAATAATAATTTAATAGTAATATATATATATATATATATAATTAGACAGAAAAAATTTGATTGATATTTAAAAAAAAATTGATATACTTAAATAAAAAATTAACATATTTGATGGAGAAAAAAATTAAAATTGATATATTAAGTAGATTTCAATTTTTTTAAGAGCATCATAATAATGCCGTGAATGGAAAAGGATGGATCCTATAATAATTTAATTGCCGTGCAGTGGTGTCAGATTCCTTGTTTGCCCATGAACCATAATTCTGTGATAAAAGCAGTCCCATCCCAACTCCCAAAAATGCAAGAACAGGGCCTGGTGCTGGTTTTTAGAGTTTGAATTCTAAAGTTTGGAATCTCATAACAGGGATAATAATTGAGCAACGAAGAGGGTGAAAATGGAGAGGAAGATCACAGTACTGCCAATTTTGGGGATGATAATGGCAGAGTGTGCACAAGCTGGGCGTATGATAGCAGGCAAAGAAGCCATGTCAGATGGCATGAATAGTTTCGTCTTTGTCTTTTACTCCAATGCTATTGCCTCCCTCATTCTCCTCCCCTCTTCTTTACTCTTCCACAGGTCCTCATCTCCATCTTCTAGACCCATACCATAAAGAAGTTTTGTACATATGACATAACTCTGCTACTTCTTTTCTTTGGTTTGGCAGATCATCGGAGAGGCCTCCACTTACCTTGTTAATTGTGTCTGGATTCTTCTTGCTTGGCCTTTTTGGGTTTGTACTTCTTTTTAGAATTGATCTTTGACTCTCCAGCTTTCTTGGGTTCTGTTTGTTACTCTGGGTTGATTTTTGTTCTACTTTTATTCAGTTGCTTGGGACAGAGTTTTGGTTATGCTGGCATTAACCTCAGCTCTCCTACACTTGGTACTGCCATGCTCAATATTGTTCCTGGTCTTACCTTCATACTTGCTGTTATTTTCAGGTTATATCCACATCCTTATACTACCTTCTCTTTATTGGATGATTACATTGTTTATTTTTTCTTCATTTCGTTGTTCTTTTTTTCTTTAAAGATTTGTGAATTAAATAAGTATTATTTTAGATGGGCCTAAAATAGTTTTACTGAATTGTTTCAGGATGGAAAATTTTGACTGGAAAAGTAATAGCACCATAGCTAAATCTATGGGAACCATAATATCAATTGGAGGGGCATTCATAGTTACCTACTACAAGGGTCCCTTAGTTCTGAAGGCACGACCCTCCGTTTCAAATTCATCAGACCAGGTTCTCTCACAACAGTCTAATTGGGTTATTGGAGGATTGTTCCTTGCTATTGACTGTTCTATGGCTTCTTCATGGCTTATTGTACAGGTGAAATTTATCAAACCCTAGTGAAAATGAAACAAGGCTGTTAAAAAGTTTTTTTTTTAATTATTAATAAATTCTAGTTTCATGTTTCAGACATTGATCCTTAAGAAGTACTCAGCAAAGTTGATTGTGGTCTTTTTTTACTTCTTCTTTTCGGCCGTACTGTCTTCAATAGTTTCTTTTGTTATGGAAAGAGATCCCTCTGCTTGGAGCTTAAACTCTAAAACAAGATTGATTTCTGTTATCTTCTCGGTATGTAAATAAAACCCACCTCGGATTATAGCTTCTTTAGACCTCAAATGTTAGCTTCATATTGTTACAATATGCAACCAGTGACTTCAAATTTTGAACAAGTAGGGAGTCTTGGGGCATGCATTCCAAGTTGTTGTTACAACCTGGTGTCTACAGAAGACTGGTCCTGTGTTTGTTGCTATATTTGCACCCTTAGGGATTGTTATTGCAGCTTCAGCGAGTGTCATCCTCTTTGGGGATGCTCTGAATCTTGGAATGTAAGGTCCTTTTGATCGTGGATTATATTTATGATCGAGTTGGGTTGCTTAGTTTGAAATTATGTACTTCTTGTACAATTCTGGCCAATTGAAGCCAATCGAATTTTCTTTTCTGCCTTTGCAGTGTGATTGGAGCCGCTATCATAGCCTTGGGATTTTATGCGGTGATTTGGGGGAAGGCCCATGAAGAGATCAAGAAAGTTGAAGACGAGGAAAATTCTGACTCTGCCTCATCCTCTCAAGAAGTCCCCTTTCTGCAAAATAAAAGGGAGAATCATTCGTAGCAGTTAATATCCATGGAGTGGTTTGTTTTATAAATCTCTCTTTCCTCATTTGACATCAACTATAAATCCTCCTGCCTCTCATGGTTAACATCGTCGGCAATCGTATTTACATTTGTGTGTGTTTTTTGGCAGGCACAGTAAAGTTCCACGAAAGACATCCTCGAACCAAGCTGATAGTTTCAAGAAGTGGAAGAAATAATTCAGTTTGAGAAGGAACTAGTCTTTCTCGCTGCTTCCTACAGCATCTCATTGTACAACTCAAGGAAATGGGCATTAAAGATAGTAATTTCATCATTGATTAATCATTATAGGATTGTAAAATGCATGTAAAATCTCATGTCTTCATTTAGGTTGCTTAGCATTAGGCAGGTAGTGCCTTTCACAGTTCATTTGGAGTCTGTTTTAGTTGTTGATTGTAGATTCAACCAACTGTATTCTAGCCGGCACTGCAATTGAATATTTCAATATTCAAGTGTTATCTCAATAGCATTAAGGTACCGATTTTTTTTTTGGGAGTGGGGCGCTTATCATTAAAAGTATTTTCGGATTAATTTTTACACACTAAAATTAAATCTTTCGTTGATTGGCTTTTAAACATATGACATCTACACCTAAACTGACTGATATTTACATCGTCCTCTCGAACCTTGTATTTGCTATAATTCTCAACCAATTAAAACAAGTTGAATCTTTGAAATATAACTGGTGATGAACCAAATGTTCAAAACAACCTGGTTCGAACTGATTGAGACACTGCTGAATGTTAACTGACGCTGCGTTCAACCTCAGCCTATCGAACTTAATTTTTGAATATATGGGACTTGACCAGAAGGAATACCTTTTGGTGGGGTTTCAGGGTTGGCTTTGTGGGAGAGAAAGGAGAGCTACAGTTACAGGGAGATTTTGGTGGGGTGTAGGTTTGGGGATGGGTTTTATGTGGTGGATTTTGATTGGGTTACGGGGAACATGTCGTTGCTGGGGTTGGATTCTCTAAAGATATATATTTTTTTTAATGTTTAGATATTCTAGAATAAAAAATTTAGATTAATCTCTTAGTGTTCCGTAGAGCACAAAACCGGTACAGATATCCAAATAGTTTTATGGTTAAACAAGTAACACTTGTTTTTCTGTTTTTTAACCCAAGCCATTAGCCACTCAAATTCTTCTGATAGAAAGAAGAAGAAAAAACAGAACAGAACAAAACAAACCTTATGTATGTACCTATAAAGAATCCAACCCCGGAAAGAACATTTTCCACGTAACCCAATCAAAGGCCACCACAAAAGACCCATCCCAAAAATATCTCCTACGCCCCACCAAAATCTTTCCCTCACCTTTCGTCTCTCATTTCTCTCACTCAACGCCAACCCTGAAACCCCTTCAAGACACTTTAAGCTGGTATCCTCCGATTTGCCAGAAAGGAAATGGCTTGTGCCTCGCAGGCAATGATATCAGCAAACACTTGCACGCTCAATTCACCAAGACTTTTCAAGAAATACACTAATGGAAATAAGAGAAACTTGAAGCCTTTCTCTATCAGAGCTGCCTCTGATGACCCTGACTGTAATACTGAAGAATGTGCCCCAGAAAAAGAGGTCAGTTCACGAGAATTATTTACTGTTATTGGTTATCTTATCTTATCTTTTTGTGCTAATTCAGTCTTAGTATTTTTTTTTGCCACTTGGTTTGTAGGCTGTCAAGTAGTTAAATTTTGAATTTTGTCAAGTCTAAGGCCTTTTGTTTGGTTCTTGTTTCTTCTTGAATTATATGATTTAACAGAGATAGAAAGGAAAAAAAAAAAAAAAAAACCTCACTTTGATGGAGTTCAGGGTCTTGGAATATGGAATGGTTTTGTTGATTGAAAATTTGTAGCAAGATACTGAAGCCAAAAATGAAAGAATCCCTTTCCTCTTCTTGTTAGGATTTGAAATAAGGAGGGAAAAAAAAAAGGGAAACTTGCATCGGCACACACATTATTTGATTTTAAAGATTCTCTACATAGATTTTTTTTTAATTAATTTCTTCAGATATTTTTACTTTGTTTGTTGCTTTTATAATTTAGTTGAAAAGAGAATCTGGCTGGTTTCAGTTTATGTTATGGAATGGCTAATTAACAGTTACGGCCCTTTGATTTCAGTATTTGTGCAGTAAGGCTAAGCATATGTTTGAACAATATTGCAATATGAGAGAAATGATGTTTTGCTTATTGTCAAATAGGTTGGGACAGTGAGTATGGAGTGGTTGGCTGGGGAGAAAACCAAAGTGGTCGGGACATTCCCGCCGCGGAGGCGTGGTTGGACAGGGTATGTTGAGAAAGATACTGCAGGACAGACAAATATCTATTCTGTTGAGGTTAGTAATCTTCATCTTTTCCTATAACCCATCTTCTTTTTCGTCAAGTTTTTTACTGCATATGGTCATGAAAAATTCAAAGGAGTTGTTGTTGCTCTTGGCATTGCATATTAAACCTATTGCCTGCCAACCCTAATGATTGTCTAGAATCAATTCTGGCGGAAGCTGAACAACCCAAAGATTGAAACCATAAGTGTGCCTCAAGTAGCTAGGAAAATTGCAATGTTCTAACGGTGAAGAATTAACTTTATGTCTCAACATTTGTTTCAAATGAATCAGTTTTCATCCTTGGAGTGGTCCACAGTTGTGATTTTATTCCATTTGAGAGCTGATAAATATTTATGGAAAGCTTTAGCTGGGAATTAAGGATTGCCCATCCTCTGAGTTGTGTTGCTTGTACTATAGTCCTGATGTTAGCTAACTCTTGCTTCCTCTCATAGTAGGTTCTCATCATGTTTCATAATAGTCAAATATGGATTTTCAATGAACTTACTGCCTCGAGATGTGGGTGGAGATAGGGGTCAGTTCATGGCAAAAAGCAATCTCGAAGCCATCAGTGATGCTATAATATGCTTCCAATGCATCTTCCATTTACGCTAAATTCCTTTCTGGAACCAAATTGATTGTAAACATGAATGCTTCTATGAATGTATTCCTCTATTCTCTTTGGAATTGTGCGAGGGAACGGTTGATTCATCAATACACCAACCTGCTTTCTAATCTCTGACATAACAAAAACAGTGAAGAGTATTGTGCTCCACTGTATGTGATTGATCTTTCTCGAAGATTTTATCTTTGTCTATTTTTTGAGAATGGTTCATTTCCTAGCTTATAGCTCAACAAAGCATAGTCATGGAATGATAGATGTTACTCATCTTTAGTTCAATTGATTGCAGCTTCATGTCTAAACAATGATATATAACTTGCCCATTAATTTTATTCTACCTCACACAGTGTCATTACTGCCGTCAAGTATTGTCTTAATTTTTCCATCACATTTCTTTCTGGTGTGGAGTTGTACAACCAACATCTCATAACTTCTAATATTTCAGCCTGCAGTTTATGTAGCAGAAAGTGCAATAAGTTCAGGAAGTGCTGGTTCTTCTGCTGATGGTTCTGAAGGCATGGTAGCACGTACCGCTGGCCTTGGCCTCCTTTCTGTAGCTGTAGCTGCGTTAGTTCTCGTCCTAGTTGGTAAGACCCCATCTGACATAACAGTAGCCGAATACAATGGGCCATCTCTCAGTTACTATATCAACAAATTTAAGCCAGAAGAAATCATCCAAGCTGCAGTGCCAAGCCAGACAGATTCCCCCTCATCCGTACAGGCAGAAAGCTCAGCACCGGAAGCCCCCGAGATGCAGGTTCAATCTCAATATGAACCTGAGCCTTCCACTTCAAGTGTGAGCAGTGTTTCTACGGCTAATTAAACTAGTTTCAGTTTCTTCGACTGTAGAAACACACAAATTTTCTTATATGCTGCCTGATGTATACTCAGAAAACAATGGAACAGCTATTAACAACGAATAGCATGAAGGAAAACAAACAAATGGCACTACGGTTTTGCTTGCAGTGACCAAAATTAAAATCATGCTTTCCATGTCATCTGTTAGTAGATTTGTTATTTATATTTTCTGCATTCACCATCAAATTGATATTTTGGTATAATTAGTGGTTTATTTATTTATATATTTTTTCATGTTGTGGGTTTCGTTATTTGTAAGATTTGGACTAGTTAATGGAAATTTTTTATTTAATATCATGATAACCTTGAAGAATCTGCTTGGTTCCAGCTCTGCTTCTGTTAATTCTGCCATTTCTACATCATAATTTCTTACATGTTTCTGGTCCGGGGATCATATATATATATATATATATATATATATACACACACACACACACACACACGACCAACCATGTCGGATCTCAACCATCTTTGATAGGCATGCTTTGAAGTTTGAGCTAAGTCTCGAGAAGTATGACTCCCTATATTTCAATCGTTGAGAAAATAAATCTGATGGCTACAGAAGAAAATATTATTTCTTTTATCCTAAATAATTGTTTTCTTTGATTTTTCGTACTTATTAAAACTTTATTAATTATTACATCATATCAATATTTATTATTTATATTTTTTTATTTTTTTTAAGAATTATTAGTCATCAAAATAAATTTTAATTAAATATATTTTAAAAAAGTGTACCACTTATATTCGATCAAATAAATATTTTAACATAGAAATAAAAATATAGAAAAAATTTTTAAAACGGAGGGGTATAGAGTATCAAATATGACTTTAAATTTCTAATTGTAGTTCATTTATTTTTGAAAGTATTTGAAATATTTAATTAATTTTTTAAACCAAGTGAATATTTTTTTCTTTACTGAAAAACCTCTAATTGAAATGTAAAAAAAAAAAATCTAAATACTTTAAAAATAGAATACGAAAGTTATGTGACTTTAAGTGTTTTTATTTATTTATTTTGTATTTTAATAAATGGCATTTCCGTTAAAATAATTTTTAAGGTTGTCAATTGAAATGATTGGCTGAATACATTAAATTTCCTTTAGGAATAAATAGAATGCAATGAAAAACCTAAGTGCTAAATTGAGATTTTAAATATTATATAAAAACAAATATATAAATTTGTCACCAGACAACCTCTCATCTATGTTATGCTGTGCCTAGTCAACGAATCTAACAGGCTCCAGGTATTTCGTAAGATCTAGCCTTCATTTTTCAAGGCCATGGTTCTTCAATCATGCTATTTTTCTTGTTTCATGTGTTGTCTAGAAAGTAGAAAGTACACAAACTTTGGATCGTCATAAAAAATTACTAAAAAAAAACCCGAGAATCTTACTTACTCGATCTTGACAATAAACAATATCGAAGTCTAAAGAATCAAAATGAATTCAATGACTATCATAAATGTTTGCCTACTTTTTTAAGCTTTTCTTTAAGGCAGAGTAGTCGTTGAACATTAACTCCAAAGCTCCCATGCAATTAATTTTTTCCCGCGGACCCCGGTGGCCATTTCTTATCTCCTTCTTTCCAAATCTAACCCATTTTCCACTCTTCGTTTTAGTTCTTCTTACACACATAAAACATCATTTTCTTTCACTCCCTCATGTCCACAGTTGCTCCACCAGTGTCGGCCGTGGCAGGCAGCGGCCTCGGCTATGGTATCGCCATTGCTGTTAGCATCCTTGTCCTCATTTCTACTATAATGCTCGCTTCTTATGCTTGTATCAGGGTTAAAGGTAATGGTATGAGCCGCCATGACAGTCCTGGTGGTGGTGATAGCAACGATAGTAGCAACAATTATGGGCCTAACCGGCACTTCACCACCGGCGACTCGGGAGAGTCTATGATGGTGGCGATGGGCCTGACTTACCCCATTATAGACTCGTATCCGAAGATGGTGTTGGGCGAAAGCCGGCGATTACCCAAGCCCAATGAAGGCCCATGCTCCATATGCTTGTCCGATTATCGGCCCAAGGATACCATACGGTGTATTCCAGATTGTCATCACTGTTTCCACGCTGATTGTATTGATGGATGGCTTAAAATGAGTGCCACGTGTCCGCTGTGCAGGAATTCTCCAGCTCCGTCGAAGGGTTCCACGCCTGTTGCTACTCCTTTGGCTGAGGTTGTGCCACTGGCATTCCATGCCAGGTGATTCTGTAATGAAAATATGTTCTTCCACTTTCAATTTTTCAAGCTTTAATTATTTTAGCTTCAGCTTTGCCTTCCGTAATTTATTCTTTTAATTTTTAGTCCGAGTTGAGGATTAGGGTCATAATATCATTTACCCACTAAGGTTTATGCTTGCTAAATTTTTTTGAAAACAATAATGGATAGTTATTAGATTTGGAGAGTTAGTAAAACTTATAATTATGTCAATTTAATAATAAATAAATCAGTCTTAAATCGATATTTTTTTAATACATAGAATTTGAATTTTATGTTTATTATCTTATGATGTCAACATTCAAGCTTCCCATAAATTTAACGTTGTCAGCATTTACTTTCATACATTGAACTATCTTATGTTTGATTTTTATTTTTATTTTTTATCCTAGCACCAAAAAGTGCAGTTTCCCTTTTGTTTTGGTCTGTTAGGATTTGTTTGAACGAATCGTATGTTAGGAATTATTACCACGTAACATGTTGACTTATATGGATGTTTTTTTCTAATTGTAATTACATGGATGTGTGGGAACAATTTCTAACGATGAATGGATTGGTCCTACGCCATTATTATTTTGTGGGATCCATAATTTTTAATTTTGGGTGTATTTGCTTGCAGCTAATGACACTTTTTACGTGGAGATTCTTTCATTCCATAAATGCATGTGGCGTGCGGGTCTGGTATTTAAATCAATGAAAGTTTCTTTTTCTTTTTAGAAAAATATAGTAAATATTCTCTCTAAAAAAAGAAAATGTTTAATTACACAACTTTTTGTTTTTTCCTTTGCCGCATAAAGGATCTAGACATCAACAATTAGTAGTTATACAGTTAAAAGATTTAGCATTAATAATTAATAAAAAATATTATTATTACCATGAATTGAATTGACCACCACTGAAAGGGGGAAAAAAAGATACTGTGACCTTTTTTCAATGATGTTTTCTTAAACTCAAATATTTTAAATAAAATATTTAAATTCATTATTTTTTATAAGTAAAAAATAAAATAAAATTATTAGCATGACACTAGAAGCTTATTCGTGTTTAATTAATAATTGCACAACTAAAGTTTAAGAAAACTTAATGACTTGTGACTTCATTGTTTTCCCCGTCAACCGATGCAGTCAATAAATGAATAGTTAATACACACGTACACGTGTTTTGGGTTATAGAAACGGCAGCAATCCTTTCTAATTTTTCATATTTCATTTCACTTTCTTTCACGAATTGAATATAAAATCTTTTAGTTGAAATTTCAAATTTTGTTGTTTGGATGTTATTTAAAGACAAAATGGTCGGAAAAGAAAAAAAAACATGTCGCTGGAAAAATCAAAATCAAGAACTGGAGAAGGGTTTCATATATGGTTTCCATTGGCATTATTTTCGTGAAATACAGCACCATTCATTTCCTAGTCGGCACCTACGAGCTTTTGAGTATATGAAAAAAATTCAAACTTTGCGTCTTTGGGTTGATTTATAGGTTTTTCAAATAAAAAAAAAGATTTTATTTTTAAAAAAATTATAACTTAACTGCATTTTAATCGAATCAATAACTTTTATGATTCAACTATAAATCGATTCCGAGACTAAATTTTAAGTAACTGAATTTTGGAATTAACTCACTAGCCATTTGACAACCATGATTAGATAGGTTATTGAGAATGTATTTAATAGTGTATTGTGTACTCGAATACTATATAAGTTGAGGTGTATTTAGAATACACCATAGCTTAATTAGTTTAAGAAACAGAGGAGCATTGCTCTGCTACATGTATATAAATAGATCGTTGGTTCCGTTACAACGGTAACAAGAATAATATACACATTTCAAATTTGTTCTATCTCTCTCTCCCGTTTTCTCAACATGGTATCGAGTTCAAGATGCCAAATTCCTTTTTCTTCTTCAACAATCTAAAACCAAATTAGATTTCGTTGTTTTCATCACTACAAATTGAATCGTGATTCTCCTTTTCTTTGTTTTTCGACGAAGTTCATTTTTCAAATTCATGGCGCATTTCATTGATTCGTCGAACTTGCAAAGATCTGCTCGTGAGAGGTATCAATGATCCGTTGTACCTACATCCCTCATACACATCAAACCCGATACTCGTTTCGCATCCGCTCGAGGAGAAGAAGACTACAATTCCCGGAGTAAAGCAATGATGATCTCTTTAGAAGCAAAACGTAAGGATGGATTTATAACTTGGACATTGCACGAAACTAGATCTAGATTCACCTAATTACACATAATAGAAGAAATGCAATGCCTTAGTTCACGCTTGGCTACTTAATTCGGTATCCACATAATTGTTTAATGGATTAGTGTATTATCAATCAGTCGAGGATGTTTGAAAAGATCTAAAGGAGAGATTCGATAAACAACACGATGCAAAGATATTTGCTCTGCATAAGGAAATTCATTCCTTAGTTCAAGGTACGGAGAGTATGGCGATCTATTACTCCAAGTTAAGGAACCTATGGGATCGGTATGACTCGTTGATTCGTACCCTTACTTGTGTTTGTCCGAGCTGCAAGAGTGAGGTTTCGCGGTCGTTTTTGGAGTATACACAACAACATAAGATGATGTAGTTTTTGATGGGATTAAATGATCATTTTCAACCGGTAAGATCACGGATTCCGTTGATGAATCCTCTGCCTACTCATTCACGAGTATATTTAATGGTGTCAAATGAAGAATCACAACGAAGGATGTATATATATCAAGAAACACTAATCGTATTCTATTCGACTAAATCTCCATACCATATCAAACGATCCTCCGATAAAGCTAATTGGCGTAGAGATATTGCTCGTGAATACTATCATATTTCGGTTATAGTAAGGGTTCTTGCTACAAATTACATGGTTATCCAAATTCTAGTAATAGAATGATTGGGACTACTTAGAGGAAGAAGGTTTGGAAGTGCCACTTGGTGGAGATATAAATCGTGCATACAATGCATATCATGTCAACTACATGAGAAATGATTGTGCTCCTTCCTACAACCATCGAGGGTTACCAATGCAACCTATGGGAGATCGGCATTCTATGCCCAAAGGCTCAACTATGGAAAATTCGTACAAGCTCCACTAGACTTTTCTCAACATCAATATCAACAAATTTTAGAGTTCGTTGGTCGCTAACAAAACATCCTCAAGGAAAACTATCCGGAAAGATGAATTGATTGTAAATATGATATGTAATTACTTTTGTGGTTATATTGATTTAAAAGCTTCTATCGGTGAATGGATAGTTGATACTGGTGCGAATATTCACATGATCGGTCAATTTAATATCTTGAACAATCCTAGGAAACTAGCATCTAATCTCGGTGTATGATTACCTAATGGCAGCAACACCTTGGTTACACACATAGGTTTCATCAATCTTCCATAAATGAGTCTTCATGATGTCCTTTTTACCGGATTTCAAATTTAATCTGTTATCGGTGGCTCGTTTCACTACTAATAATCAATGTTTTACTTCCTTTTACCCTAATTTCTGCCTTTTCGGGATCTTAAGACTATGAAGACAAGGGGGATTGGTAAACCTAAGGATGGTTTAGACCATGTTCTATCAAATACTTTTGATTCAATTTTACCAAAACAAATTTCTTCTTGTTTGTTATTTGCTCATTCTCCTTCGTGTAATAAGGCTATAATTCATCCACATTCCGTCAAAGATGATGTAATACTTTGGCATAAAAGGTTTGCACATCTCTCTCTTAATAGACTTCATGTGTCTGCTCGACTTTTAATTCTCTTTAACCAATTGTGATTTGTTGTGTGATGTTTGTCCACTTGTAAAACAAACCGGATTACCATTTCCATCAAAAACCTCTACTACTCATTCCTTCTTTGACTCGATTCACCTAGATATATGGGGACCTTATAGACATCCTACCTACGATCAAGAGAAATATTTCATCTCTATAGTAGATGATTTTTCCGGAGGAACGTGGACTTTCCTCATGAAATCCAAATCTCAAACACTTCAATTACTCATTGATTTTTATACCCTTGTTCACACATAATTCTCTTATTCCATCAAACGGTTTAGGATCGATAGAGGTTCCGAGTTTATGCGGACGAGCTTGCCAATAATTCTTTTCTTCAAAAGACATTATTCATGAAACTACCATCCCTTATACTCCTCAACAAAATGGCATAGTGGAGAAAAAACATAGACATATACTTAATATTGCTAGAGCCATTATGTTTCGATCCAAATTTCCTATTATATTTTTAGGGGATTGTGTCTTAACTACCACATACATTATCAATAGGACTCCTAAACCTCTTTTGCATGGACAAACTCCATTTGAAGTGTTATTTCATAAACCTCTATCCTTTCGAGCATCTTAGAGTGTTTAAATGCTTATGTTATACCAAAGTCCTTCCTTGTCATGATAAATTTGCTCCAAGATCCAAACCTTGTATTTTTTTAGGTTATCCTTATTCCCCAAAAGGATATAAGGTGATGCACTTAGCTACTCATACTTTTTTTGTTACTAGAGATGTTCGGTTTCATGAATCCAATCCATTTTCCCTTATTCTTCCGAACCGACTACTTCACATGGGGACCTTGCTTCGCTAATCCTACTTCCTTATGGCAATATGATGATGAAGTTCTTCTTACTCATATTACCGATCCCTCTACTTCATTTTCTTATGCTCCTAGCCCTCCGATTCGTTTCCTCTCACGACTTCTCTGCGAGCATCTTCCTAGTTCCGTTCCTAGTTCTTCCGTGTCTCCTGTCATGTCCGAATTGCTTCCTCCTAGGTGTTCCTCTCAAGTCTCCAAAGTACACTGTCCGGTCAATTGATTATTCTTGTCCCACATTAACTCAATCCAATTGTATTCCACTATCTTCTAGGCTTTATTCTCTTTCCAATTATCTATCATATGCTAATGGGTCTCCCACACATATTGCTTTTTGGCTTTCATTTCTCCCATATGAGAACCCGAAACTTATGTTGAAGCCATTG